ACAGGAGATGGGGCTCTGCACACGCCCAAGGCTGCGGTATGCCCACCGGTGTCTGCCCACCTTTATTGGTTCCGTGTGACCTTGGCAAATAATCACATGCCACAAAACCTCAGTTTCTTCTCCCAAGGGGCCGTGAAACGGCAATGAACTCTCAGAGCTTTTGGAGGATGAAAGAAGGTGCCATTTAAAGCCTCCCACCAACTGCCCATTCCTGGCGAGGGCTGGCAGAGTGCTGATGATGGGGCCGAGTGTTAGACGTGCCTGCCACAGAAGATCCTGGGCTGGGGGAGCCATGGGGGTGTGAAGGGCGGCCCTGGGCCTGCCTTCACCTTGTCCCCTGTAGCAGGATGGAGTCGGCTCAGATAGGTAGTGGTTAGATGCACAGCTGCAAGGAAGCTTGGGGTGGGACCAGCCCTGTACAGGTAAACATTTAAATACAGAAAACCAAGAACTCTGTAGAGAAGTAGAGAAGGGAATGGAGCAGACCACACAGCACCACCTCCAGCGGCAGCAGTGACTCACCTGCAGGCGGCTCTCGTTTCATCTCCACACTGGGGATGCAAAGTCTTAAATCAGGTCCTGATTTCAGTCTGTGTCTGGATAAGATAAGACTCTTAACCAAAAAACCCTAACAGATATCATCAAATCTAGAAAGCAATAAATCAATAATTCTTTAATGTCAAATACTCAATAATGTCAAAGTTGCCCGAATCGTCTCACATTCATGTTTTAAAGTAATTTGTTCAAATCAGGATTCAGATAAAGCCAGTTCATTGCTGTTGGTTGCTGTCTAACGCTTCTTTAAATCTTTTTTCTCTCCATCTCTCTCTCCCTTTCTCTCCTTTGCGAAGTGTTTTCAAAAGCTGTGGTCCCGTAAGCAAGCAGGCTGGGCCCTGATCAGATTTGGGTTTACCTGGTTTTCCTTTAAGCTCAGCGAATGTAGGAACCCTGGGGCCTCTTATGGGAATGTCAGATAGGCCCCTGGGGCCAGCGTGGGCAGAGGAAACAGCCTCAGGGTTCTTAGGAACCAAGTGTCCTCCTCGGCTGGTGAGGCTGCACTGCATGAGTCTTCTGCGACCTGGGGCGGCAGTGGGCAGGGGCATGGTGGGGGTGTCCTCCAGGCCAGCCCTGCCAGCTGCAGGGAGGCGGCCTTGGAGTGGGCCCTGGGGGTCTGAGGTGGTGGTGGACAGGGGCCGGTCCAGAGCTTCGGTCAGCTGGCTCAGGGCTGGGGGCCATCTGCCTGGACAGCACTGTGGACAGGTGCATGTGCTCCTGGCTTTGGGCGGTGGCACCAGTTGGGCCGATGCCTTCACATCTTAGTTTGCTGAGGCCAGAGAGAGATACTGACCTGGGGAGTGCAGGGCCTGGCCTGAGAACACTTGGGGTGGGCCCTGGGGTCCCCAGGGATTCCGGGCTTCCAGGGGAATGACTAAGGGAGTTACTCCTGGGATTGCCTCCTGGTGCAACTTGAACTTGGCCTCTCCTCACCTCACATGCTGCCGGCTCCCAGGCGCCATGGTCCTGCCTGTCTCTCAGCTTTCTCAGGAGGCTGGTTTCCTGGTGACTGGGCTGAAAATGGTCCACCATCCACTTGGAAATTCCTAAGCTTCTCCAGCCCCAGGTCTTGTCCCTAGGGAGCTCCAGTCATCTGTGCGTTGGGGCCCGTGTCCACTGCAGGGCACACGCTTGGTGCTGGGGGAGGCCTCTGCCCAGCCCCAGACGCCACCCCAGCTCTACCTCATCACTCACCTCCGAGCATCCTAGGGAGCTACCCCTGGGCGCTGCTTGGGCCAGTGCGTCATTGCCCTGCTTGGGTTTGTGTGGGTGTGGGAACCACTCCGGGAGCCAGGGGTTCCAGAGAACACCACCTGCCTGGAGCGTGTGCTGGCCCACTGCCGACCAACCTTGGGTACCAGGCACGTCCTCTGGCCCTGGTTCAGTGTCTTCACCTGTGAAATGGGGACAGTAAGAGTGCCCGGCTGTGGGGATGCTGCACAGGGTCGTGTTAACAGAGTAGTGTCCATGTCCCGTCAGTGTGGCCGCTGCTCCGAGGGCTCAGGAGGGAGGAGAGCCTCCTCAGCCCCGGTGGTGCTGCGGGCACACGGCAGGCCGCTGACACATCTCTGCAGGACTGATGAGCATGTGGGCACACCCAGCAGACACCGGTGCTTGCTCAGTGCTGCCCTGTGGGGACAGAAGACAAGATGTGCGTCCTGCAGACTGTGATGAACACTGTGATTGAGGATAGTGTTCAGAGGCTGTTCGAGGGCAGCCCTTGGAGGGTGTTAAAGGAGGGGGTTGGGGATGGCCAGGGCTGGTTAAACGTCCTTGGATTGAGAGGGGGCTACAGCAGAAGCTGCTGCGTGGGAGGGGGCAGCAGGATGAGGAGGGGCTGGCTGAGGGGGCAGAGTGTGTGTGGGGGCAGCTGGACTAGCCTTATAGCTGTACCACGAGGCTGCATCTCCATGTGTGTGTGGCAGGGGTCACCAAAGAGGGCAGAGGCAAGGGGAAGGCCCGGGCGGAGCCTTGGGAGCCAAGCTTGGCAGCGGGTGGAGCTGGGGAGCACCCCCGGAAGCCTTACCTCACCTGGGGGGTCCTGTGGCTGTAGGTCCCATGTCTCCATGTGCCCTCAGCAGGCCTCTTCCTGGGAAGACAGCGGTTTCATTCCTGGGTGGTGCGGAGCCAGGCGCTGTGGCTGTAGCTCACCCTCCCCATGTTGCTGGGGCGCAAGTCGAGGCCAGGAGCGCAGCCCCGCCCAGGAAGGGGTGAGCAGCTCCGTGGAGCCAGGGCTCCGGGAGTGCGATGCTCTCACTTCCCTCCATGCCCGTCCTGTGGCGGCTGCTGGCCTCCAGGTGTGCCGTCTCAGGTGGTCAGGAAGAGGAGAGATGCCGAGACACGCTGAGGCATTCTCTTTGCCCTGTCATTGCTGACCTGGGGGGAAGCCCTCCTCTGTGGGCCTCCCTTATCTCATCATCCCAGATCAGGTCACATGTCCAATTTGGGCAGGGCACTGATTTCTAAGTCTGGTGTATGTGGTTGGGGTAGGAACCCACTCTTCCTGCGGGGGAGCTGGCCAGGTCAGGGGAGAAGGGCTGCCAGGGGAGAGGCCATGTCGGGATCACCTCAGCCCCCGGTGTTGGCTTGAGAGGGCCTGTTTGCTCGTCTCCTCCCCAGACTGGCAGCTCCCAGAGGACAGGGCCCACAGCTTTGTCATGTGGCAAATGCACCTTCTACCTTTGTGGCCTGGACTGGGGGGCGGAGTCGTCCACATGCAATTGCAGGACCTCACTCTTGCCCCCTTTGCTAAGAAGCCTGCCCCCATGTAGCCAGCCATGCCTCTCCCCATTCCAGCATCACCTGGTTACTGGGCTCACCTCATGCTGCCAGCCCAGGGATGGCAGTGTGGCTGGGGTCCTGGTGTGCTGTGGCAGCAGGAAGGGGTGAAAGTAGGCTGGCACAGGAGATGCTGGGCCCAGGGATGCTGGTGCAATGGCTTGGCTGCCCTGCCTTCCTCCCTCAACCCTAACCCACCTGCCCTCCTTGCTTACCTCCTTTCAACCTGCTGAGAAGCCTCCGCTGGTTCCTCAGACTCCTGCTTTCCTCTCTCCCACAGACAGTACTTTAAACATTCAGGGTATGATTCACATGCCAGAAAATTCACCTTGTGAAGCACACAAAGTTGGTGGTTTTGAGTATATTCACCGTGTTGTGTGGTCATAACAGTTTCCTAGTTCCTGAGCAGTCTCATCATCCCAGAAAGAAACCTCTTCCCTAGCGGCTGGCAGCTTCCACATCCCTTCCCCCACCCCCCAGCTGCCAGCCCCTGGCAGCCACGAAGCCACTCTCGTCTTGGGCTGTACTTGTCTGTTCTGGATGCTTCATGCACGTGGAACCATTTCATGCGTGGGCTTCCCTCCCTGAGCATGGTGTTGTTGAGGGCCGTCCCTGTCTTAACACGTGTCAGCGCTTGGTTCCTTTCCATGGCCAGATACCATCCCATTGTGCGGCTGAACCCCAGTACATTCATCCAGCCACTTGCTGGTGGATGCTGGGCTTGTGTCCATGGCGTGATGATGGCAAGTGATGCTGCCGTGGACATCATTATACGAGGTTTCATGTGGATGTGTGTTTTCATTTCTATTGGGTAAACATCCAGAGGAGACCCGTGGGTCATATAGTCACTCTCTATTTAACATTTTGAGGGACTCTTGTCCGCTTTTCCAAAAGAACCACCATGTTAAATTCCTGCTGGCAGCCCTAGGATGCTGGCTTCTCCACTTCCTTGCCAACACTTGTTACTTTCCATTTTTTTTTTTAATTAAAAAAAGTTATTATTATTTTTTGAATCTTGGCGCGGCCTGTGGGATCTTAGTTTGCCACCCAGGGATCAGACCTGCATCCCCTGCATTGGAAGTGCACAGTCTCAACCACTGGACTGCCAGGGAAGTCCCTATTTTCCTTTTTTAAAATGATTGCCATCATAGTAGGGGTGAGGCAGAATTCTGTGGTTTTGATTTGTATTTCCCTGGTGGCTAATGGTGTAAAGCGGCCTCCCGTGTGCTTGTTGGTCACTTTTATGTCTTTGGAGAAATTTCCCTTCCAGGAAAGGGGGTTGTGGTGAGGCTATAGGATCCTGGCCAGGCTCGGCATCATTGCTTAGTGGCTGTGCGTCTCGGAGTGCCTTCCCCGTCCATGAGCCAAGCACCGTGAAGGTTGAGGGGTGTGTGTTTGGGGCTGTGGCCACCGTCAGCAGGATCGACTGCTTCACTAACCAGCTGAGACTGTCACCCAGATCTTTATTTCTGTCTTGGAGCCTGCTTTGCTGGGTCTTCTGCAAACAGTCTGTTAATTTATTTTGGGTAAGCAGGTTGATGGGCAGACACATACAGATGAGTGGACAAGGGTCTGAGAGGAGAGAAGGCAGGGAGCGTGTCCACCTGCCCCTGGCTGTCCCCACCTCCTGCCCCACCAAACAGACTTCCTTGTTTTCTCTGTTCAAGGAGGAGCCGAGGAAGGTTTGCTTCACTTACGATCTATTCCTGAACCTGGAGGGCAACCCTCCCGTCAACCACCTGCGCTGCGAGAAGCTCACCTTCAACAACCCCACCGTGGAGTTCCGGTACAAGCTCCTGATGGCCGGCGGGGTGAGTGCGCCAGTCCCTGTGGTCCTGACATGGCCCCTGATGGTGCTGGGGGCACCCAGGGCTTCCCAGCGTGTAGTCGGGTGCCTGAGACCCTGAGGGGCAGGTGGTATGGGCGGCACCCGGCAGCTTTGGAGAGGACCCAGGCATCCCTAGCCTGTACCAGGGCGTTGTCTGTTGCAAATGACTGACTAGTCTTTAGTTATCCTGAAGCTTTTTGTTGCTGTGGGTAATTAGCATCTTCCTCCACAGAGGTGGGTGGAGGCAGGAGTGGGTGTGAGGCCAGTCTCCCAGCCTGGTGTGGAGCTGGAGCCAGTTTTCAACCAGATTGGCAAGGCCACTCAGAGGCTGCGTCATCTGGGGGGTTCCCTGCTGATGCAGGCTTCTGGGGGTTTGTCCTTGAGACTCGGGCCTGGTCAGAGTGTCAGCTCTCAGGACTTAGGTCTCTGCAGGGAGTTGTGTGCCAGTGATTCCAGTGTGGTGGCAGGGGGAGTTCTCTGTAGGGAGCTGTGTGCCAGTGGTCCCGGTATGGTGGCGGGGCTGGAGCACGTGTCAGGGCTCTTGGAGAGCAGGGTGGGGTGCCCACTTTGGGGGGCAGGTTGGACTGTGCCAGGCGGGGGATGTGTGCTGAGCACACCAGACATGCTGTGCTTGGGACGGAGGAGTTGGGCTCGGGTGTGACAGCCTATGTGTGTGGTGAGGGCAGGCCCACCTCCCAGTGTGTGCCTTTAGCTTGGTTTTCTTTGGCTCTTGGGAGCAGTCCTTGTTTCCTGTTACTTAATTCAGTTGGGTCTTTTTATAAACTTTTAAACAATATGAAAGAATCACTTTTTCATGGCAGGATGTGTGATTAAGGTCTGCTGTGTCCTTAATAAAAGATGAGTATGTGACCCTAATCTTGCACGTGACGGCTGACAGAGTCCAGTCACGGAGCAGGGATGGGGGGTTGCCTTACACAGATGTTGGCTCTGAAGTTGGCAGGCGCAGCGGTCCTCCCCCAGCTCTGCCTCTCTACTTTGGCGTCTCTGCCAGATGCTTTCCAGAGTATTTCCCCAGCGGTTCCTGGGTGCTCGCCCCAAGGTTGCGTGGTCACCGCTCTCTGGGAGGCAGCCGCACAGAGTGTCCACGGGCCTCTCAGGGCCCAGGACGCAGCACTGAGCCCCTGGCTGCCCATGGTGGGGGCGGCGGTGTTTGCTCTGAGATGAAGACTCAGTGAGCAGCATCCAAACACATAAAACCAGAGGGCAGGAGGCGGGGGAGGAGGTGCAGGAGGGAGGGAGGCCGCGGCTGCCGCGCTGCACTGCCCAGGGCTGTCCTCGCCCTGGGGGTGCTGCCCAGAGAGCTGGCCTGCTGCCCAGGAATTTCTCACCCTTTGGGGCTGTGGGCTTCAGGCACCGGGCTGATGGCAGAGCAGTGCTGTCTGTTCTTAGGAGCCACCCGAGACCTCCAGGGGACTGTGGCTCCCGAGTCCTGAGTCCCAGTCCCTGTTCGCTGTGTTGGGGCACTGGGTCCCAGGTGGGCCGCCTTTTCCCTCTGGTGGCAGGTAGCCCCCGAGGCTGCCTGTGTTGATGTCCACATCGGCGCTGGAAGAACTGGAGGAGCGAGTTGTCTGTGAGCCACAAGGACTGCTCTCTGTGCAGCCCCTTTCCCGGGGTCCCGTGAGCCCTGTCGCTCCTTGTGTGACACTCAGACGGCCTCGGTGGTGACCTGAGCCACTTCCTGCTGGGCTGGGTGGTCGCCTGGCCTCCAGCGGTGTGTCTCATCCTTGGCCCCGTCGGCAGTTGAGCTGCACAGAAGTAGAGGCTCCTTCAGCGGCAGGCGGTGAGATGGGTTCCTTTGGAGCCACGTGCTCCCAGGTTTTCACTGCGAGGCAAGGACACGGGAGGCAGTCACGCGTGTCCTGGGACTGGGTCAGCCTAGGACCTTCCTCTGAAGGGATAGGAAATGTAACGAAAGGAGAAGGGCTGTGGGCGGATAAACCGAGGCTTCCCATGGCCCTGCCATCCTCCTGGGCTGCCCACTCAGTCATGTCCGAGTGGCCTTCATGTGTGCGGGCCCCTGACGGCATGATCCCTGGGTGCCTGGAGGGGCCGGCGTGTTCTGGGAGCCTGCTTCAGAGCGCGGTGGTCAGACAGGCTCTGACGAGCAGCGCCGCCTCGGGCCCTGCCGCCGTCCTTTCAACCCGGCGTCCCCATGGCTGTGGCCGGGTGTGACCTCAGCCTCCTCAGATGAAAGCTGGGGTTTGTTGGGGAACCCCAGGTTCTCAGAGCTGTTCATGGTGCCTGTTCTATGAAGCTAAATGCTTTCTTTTTCATCATCTTATGCACTTTATTCTTCTGTTCTGGCTCATCACCGTCTGGAAGGCTCCCTCTGAGTGGCTGGCTGCTGGTAGTGTCAGCTCGCTCTTGTCAGTATTTTGAAAACTTGCCCCCAGCCTTCTCCCACTTCAGCTGGGGCCATGGGACCCTGCCGGAGCCCCTCCCGGCGGCACTCTGGCCCTCCCTCCTCCAGCCCGGCCACGTGCCCCCTGTCTGTCCAGCTCACCCAGCTGAGACTGGAGAGGGAGTCGGCACCCAGAACCTGGGTGCTGCCTCCACCACGCTGCCTGCTCTGGGTGTCTGGCTGGCTTTCCACCTGTCCCGGCCGTGCTTCTGGTTTGTCTTCCCCACCTTGTGCGGGGCAGCTTGGCTTCGGCGCCTCCTCGTGCTCCTTTGCACGCTCCGCGTCTTCCAGCCGGCCCTCAGGCCCACCACACTCAGCCTTCCTGGGACCCGGCTTCTTCGCTCTCCACCCAGCCCGCTTGGCTCCAGCGCTCAGCGCCCAGCTCCTCCCAGAGGGAAGCTCCCACAGCAGGCTTCCTCTTGCCGATGGGATTTCCAGTCTGCCTCCCTGCCCATTGATAACATCTGTCTCTTCTTTATCACTAGGTGATGGTAATTCCTGAAGGAGCAGAAACGGTGTCCAGGCCCAGCCCCGACTACCCCATGTTACCCACAATTCCACTCTCTGCCTTCTCTGACCCCAAGAAGACCAAACCGTCCCACGGCTCCAAGGTTAGTGAGGCGGCAGGCCCAGTCCTGGGGGCGCGCTGGGGCCCGGCGGCGAGTCCCGGCTCAGGGCGCCCCGCGTCAGAGCTGGACCTTCCATCCCTGGTCTCGCTCCCTTGGCCTCCTCTCGGAACTCATCTCTGCCTGCCTGGCTGCTCTGCCCCTTGGTCAGGAGGCTGGCCCTCATGACCTCACGGACAGCCAAGTGATCGCAGGCTTCTCTCTGTTCCTCTTGAGGCCAAAGAGCCTGCCCTATTCTTCCTGCCACTGAGTCAGAGGGCCTAGGACCACTGGGACAGACCCTGAGAGGCTCGTGTGCTGGGGTCCGTGGACCAAGTGCGTCCACTGCTGCTCCCTAGCACAGCTCGGCGACCCTCTCCATGGGGCTGGGCGCCCCTCCCTCGGCTGCTATAGGCTCTGCTTTCTGCTTTGGCAGCAGCTCTCTGCAGAGAGCTTACTTGGGGAAGGGCCAGGTGGAGCCATGCGGGCAAGCACGCTGTTTGCCCTAAGAAGAGATGTTTGATCGTCTTCTCTCAGCCGTCAGGCAGGGGGTGCTCTGCCCTCCCAACACCTCCCTCCCTGAGCCATCACAGCATGGCCTCGAGCCCTCGGGTTGATACTGCGGTGGACACAGAAGCTCCCAAGTGTGTGTCTTGTCCCGCAGCCGCCTCAAACAGCTGTGTCCCCAAGACTGAGCTACGCCTGGCTCTTAGGGCAGCTGCCGATCATTCACTACCACCCACCCCGAAAGTTTATCCACTTCTCGTCTTGGCAGGTTTCTTGCTCCACTCATGCTCGGGGTGTCAGGGGCCTGGGGCACCCGAGGCGGGGCAGGTTGAGCTCTCAGGCCTCACAGCCTGATGCTTATCAGCAGCCTTGGAGGAGTGCCTGTCACCTGGGCGAGGTCTTCTTGGCACTTTCCACAAGACCACTAGGTCTCTGAATCTTCAGATCTCTCTGACTTAAGCCTCCTGGACACATGAGGCCAGAGTCTCCAATATGGAGTGTGGGTCTGGGGTCTTCCCCATACTGGCATCTGTGGTCTTCCCCTGAACCTTGTGGGACTTATATAGAAGAAAAATTCTTACTCACGATCTTGGCAGCTTCTATCTCAGTCACCCACAGTTGTCTAGAGGTCTGCTCAGAGTGGGAAGTGCGGGAATCGCCATCTCTTTCTGGCATGTCACTTGCGAGTCCCCTAGGAAGTGCCCTCTGGGTATTGAGGACACTGCAGTGGCCTGCCGAGCAGGGGCTGCTGGCAGCATCTCTTGCTGAGGTCTTTGAGACCCCTGGGGCCCTTATACCGGTAGTTGTACCTGCCATGCTCGGGGGGCCTGCAGGCTGGGGTCTGCGTCTCCACCCCTCCCAGTCCAGCATCTTCCTGCAGCCCCAGGGGCTGCAACTCAGGGGGTCCCTGTGAAGGTTGCTGCATATAGCTCTCCAACAGACACCCTCAGTCCTTCCCTCCAAGTCATCATGCTCTTCCTGCAGCTCAGGAGGCCCTGGCACTTCCCTCAAATGGGCTGTCTGCTGTCCAGACCTGTGGGCTGACTGGCAGAAAGGCTGGGGGGTGGGGAGACATGGCATGGGTCCTTCTAGGGCCCTGGGGCCGCTGGGGAGTCTGGCTGTTGTGGCCCCAGATGGATTGGTCCCTGGTGGTCCTGTTCCTGCCCATAGGCCCCAGAGGGGAGCCGAGAGCCTCCTGGGAGAGGAACAGGGCCCACTGCAGGGCACCTGTAGCTTCAGGCACCCGGCTTCTCCTTGTCCAGTGTCAGCCAGTTGGTCCAGTGGGCCTTTGTTTCTTCAGCACTAGTCTCTTAGCCACTTGGGGTCCTTGCCGGCTTTGAGGACACGACTGTGGTGGGTTTCACCCCAAGAACTTCTGCGTCACTCTCCAGCCTTAGTGTGTGACTTCAGAGAGCCTGTCCTCCCAGGAGCCTGTACAAAGCTCTGGCTGAGGAGGCGAAGCTCTGAGGCCCCTGCTAGGTGGGCAGACCCTGGATGGCGGGGAGGCTCTGCTGACTGGGGCTGGGGGGCTTTTGGTGGACCTGCCCTTAGGGGGCTCTGCTCCATGTCTCAGGACTGGGGCCGGGGGGCCCAGGCGGCACGTGGATGCTACAGGAATAGGCCAGAGTTGTGTAGGGGTCTGTTTCTTGCCTGCCTGCTTGGGGGAGCTGCTTGCTGGGAGTGGAACCCTGAGACAGGCCCCATTCCACAGCCAGCCCCCCAGGGGTAGCCCTTCAGACAGGCTTCTAAAGGGAGGCTTGTGATGTGAGTACCTCTTCCCACGACCATGGTGACATGAGGGACACAGGGGCCGACTTCTCTCTAGGAGGCACTGGGGCCCCATGGCCCCACGGGCCTGCCCCTGAGCCTCTGGTGCTAGTGTGGGACTCAAGTAGGTTGCAGGTGGCCAGGCTGTGCCATCTCTGGGCTCTCTGCGGAGAGGGTTCTGTGGCTGCTCCCAGGGCTGTTAGCACAGGAAGCAGAGGCCCAGCTGCTGGCCTTTCCCTGGCTCACCTAAATCCCTCAGCACGTGGGGTGAGCTCCTCAAGTGAGGCTGCTCCTCCGCTCTGGTAGCTCTTAGTTTCTGGTGAGCTTGGGTCCTGAGAGCCTTGGTCCAGCCGTGCGCCTGTCCCCGGGGCTGGGGGCCAAGTCCAGTTGCCCATCCCGCAACCCTGGCTGTGTGGCAGGTGCTAATGCAGTGTGGATGGGGTGTGGGCACAGCCGGTGTCTGATGGGGCTCCCGGCTGCCTGGGGGTGGGGGGACGGGGTGCTCCCTGACTGCCCTGCCTGTCCTGCACCATCGCCTGGTGAGGTAGGTGGTCATGCTCCTGTTCAGAGGAAGCACAGGTGCACACGCTTGGAGTCCCCCAACCTGACCTTCCTGGAGGCCCAACTCAGGGCTGCTTGCCACCTCTCTTTCCAGTGGGAGCCCCCTGACCTGGCTCATCGACGCCAGAGTTCAGGCTCCACACTCAACCCTCTGAATTTCTGAGGTGGGGATCCTTGAATTACACGTGATTTAGAAAAGCTGCCCAGGTGGCTTGGGTTCTAGAAGCCAGTCTTCACGCACAGCCCCCAGGAACCCAGCAGGCACTCACTCAGTAAAGGTGACTGTGGGGGTCACGGGGAGATTAAAGAGCCCCTGTGCTGCTGTGCGCCGGGCCAGGCTGCCCAGTCGGGGCGGGGCCACCTGGAGAAGCGCCTGGCTCTGGTGGGGACAGCAGAGGGGCCCGCCTGCTCTTGCCCCCAGCCCCATGCCTGGCTGCCTCTGACTCCGCAAGGTGCCTGGGGGGGCGTGGTCGGTGTGGCTGGCCTGTGTGTATCTGACTCACCCGCACGCTTCTTGAATCCCTCCGGGGAGTCTTAGCCTGTAGCCGCCCATGACCTGACGCTTCCTAGCAGCTTTAAGGGACAGCTCCATTTAAAACTCTCACCTGCTGCCTTACTTTTTCAAAGCTTTATGGATGATTTTCTCTAGCTGAGTCTGCATCAGGTGGATTACACTTTGTCGGGGTCGGGGGAGGTGGAGCATGGGGCAGCCCTGAGATGCTGCGTGACCGTGTCCCCCTCCTGCCCGGCCTTGCAGGACGCCAGCAAGGAGAGCAGCAAGGCCTGCAAGGCCCACAAAGCGACCAAGGAGCACCGGGAGCGGCCGCGCAAGGACTCAGAGAGCCGGGGTGCCTCCAAGGAGCCGGAGCGCGAGCAGGCCCGGAGCGCCAAGGACGCAGCGCGGAAGCTAGGCGAGGCCCGGCCACCCAAGGAGGAGAAGGCCCCGCCACCCAAGGCTGCGTTCAAGGAGCCCAAGATGGCCCTGAAGGAGACCAAACTGGAGGGCATGTCCCCCAAGGGCGGGCCCCCACCACCACCCCCGCCCAAGTCTTCCAGCAAGAGGCCGGCCACTGCCGACTCACCGAAGCCCAGCGCCAAAAAGCAGAAGAAGAGCAGCTCCAAGGGGTCTAGGAGTGCCCCCAGCACCTCGCCCCGCACCTCGTCTTCCTCCTTCTCGGACAAAAAGCCGGCCAAGGACAAGGGCAGCGCCAAAGGGGAGAAAGTCAAGGCCGAGAATGAGTCCAGGGAGATCAAAAAGCCCCCGGAAGTGGAGGAGTCCAACTCGGAGGACGAGGCCTCCTTCAAGACCGAGGTGAGGCAGCTCCTTCCCCACCCTTCTCCCCTCACCTACCCCGCCCTTGTCTTCTGCTGTTACCCAACCTGTTCTTGTCCTCTCTGCTGGCTCTGAGCCGCTCGAAGGTGACGAGGGGGTTGGGATGCAGGGCCCTGGGCTCCCACTTGCTCCATGGAGGTTTGGGCAAGCCTTCATGCTGCACCAAGCCTGTTTCCTCTTCTGTCAGGGGCGATGCAGCTGCCTCGTGAGAACTCTGTGGGAACACGGGGTCCCGGTAGAGCATGACACTGGGTACCTGGGTTCACAGCTCTCCTTCGGGCAGCCCCCTGCATGGGTGGGGACTCAACTCACCCATGAGTGATTGTGTCCCACCATCAACTCCTTCCCAGGGTGCCACAGGCTCAGCTGGTCAGGACACCCCCTTCTGTCACTAGTGGTAAGGTATCCACGTGTGTTTTCATCCCGCTTTCTGATCTGGGAACCAGAGGCCCTGGGTTCCTCCTGTGGCAGCATTTTCACATAGCTCTGAAGGTCCCCGTCAGAGACAGCTTGAGCCACAAAGGAGACGGAGCCAGGTATTGATTGGTTAGGCAGACCTCTTTGGCCTTGGAGGACCATGTCATCTCTGTGTGCTATTTGGCTTCTGGTAGTTAGAGAAGAAGAACTTGGCTGGATGGATGATAGTTGGATGTACGGTTGGGTGAATGAATGGATGGATGGATGATGGTTGGATGGTTGGTTGGATGGATAGAGCATTGGTTGGATGGATGGAGGGTTGGCTGGATGGGTATATGGTTGGTTGGATGGTTGAATGAATGTATAATTGGATAGATAATGGCTGGATGGTTGGTTGGTTGGATGGAGGGATGGTTGGATGGTTGGATGGATGGATGGATGGATGGATGGATGGGTGATTGACCCCTTCACTTATATTGCCAACCCCAGCCCTTAGAGACCTTTTATGGTTCCCGGCATCCTCATTCACTCTCAAAGGCAGAAGCTTTGCCTCCAACATTGCTGCTCGGAGCTCCACTGAGACTTTGAAAGTGGTTCCCAGAGATGAAGGCAGAGGTGGTTTGTGTCAGTAGCACTGATGTTATGAGTGTGTGGCTTCCAGGGGCACCTTGTTGGAAGTGTCCGGGGGTAACAGTTTGGCCTGGGAGTAACAGTGTATCCCCATTGATGAGGACACACATGGGGCTGATGATGTTGTACACCCAGTGCTTCTTACACCCAGAAGACTGTCTGCCAGTGAACTTACGGGCGTAGGACCCCGGAATGTGTCTCTGATGTCCAGGGCTGTCTGCCCCCTGGCTGTTGGAGGTTCTTCAGGTGCCCCATCTGGCATCTTTCTCCTCCGTCTGCTCAGAGTGGAGCTCTGGGCAGGGTGTCCTTCCCTCCCGTCCACCCTGAATGCTTCCACCGACGCCTTCTGTGCCCAAGGCTGGTGCACCTGTGCTGGGAAGAGCTGAAGGCCTTCCTTCCTGTCCCCAAGCGGAGGGGCTCTGGCCCTGGGTGTCCACCTGACATCCTGCTGTGGTGATCCTGGGCACCTGTGCCCCTGTGGGCTGCTCCCTCCGCCTGCTCGGGTGGGCTGGGTGGAAGACCGGCATATCTAGCCTTGGCTGCCTGGGACCGGAGGCTGGCATTGCTCGGGAAGCCTGGGGTTTTCTCCTGGCTGAAGAGACAGGTCTGCTGTGCTGAGAGACTTGTGAACCCCAAGTCCAGGCTGTTTGAGATCCTGCAGCTGAAGCCTGGGCCTCCAGCAGGATCCCAGGGGTCTCAGAGGCTGCTGGATGGTGACTCACACGTCCTGACCTGGGACCTGGGGAGACACAAATGTCCAAGGTGGAGAGGGCAAGATGGCCTTCAGATCCAGCCCACCCCCCAGCCTCCCTTGCCTGTCTCAGGCCATCCCGCTCTGGAGGCTGATGGCGTCACTGCCAGAAAGCTCTGACCCTGCCTGGAACCCAGGTCTCCCCCTTGGCTTGCAGAGGGACCACAGCTCCTCATCTGTGTGTTGGGCCAGGACCCCAGCTCCTTCGGCTGCTCCTCTGTGGTCTCCTTGGCCATGGGGTCTCTTCAGTCACAGGCCCCAGAGTATGGGGAGCACAGTAGGCCCTCTGCTCTCCTTCTGGACACCCTGTGTGGCCTGAGCCCCAGAGCCTCAGCAGTGCTCACAGCAGCCTCTTGAGGGCTCTCTGACCCTCAGGAACCATTATGCTCTTGGGGTGGAAGCCACATCCAGGTCCTCCCTTCCCCATCTCGCCCCTTGTATTCGTGTGGAAGGAAAAGGGCTGTGTGTGGCTGAGGGGCCCGCCTGGCCTGCCCTGGCCTGCACCCTCCCCAGCCTGCCTCGACCTCGACTTCCGTATGCTTAGCAGGGCCAGCAGGGCAACTCTTTGGTCCGTGGGGAAGCTGAGGCTTAAAGGTGGGGCCTTGATCAGTTGGTGAAAAGCCAGGCTCAGACGCGGGGACCCTGAGCCAGAATAAGAACTCAGGAGTCTGTGTGCAGGAGGGCTGCGTGGCTTCAGTGGTTGGGGCTGGGGTTCACGCTGGCCTGTGGTTCCCACCCCAGCAGACACTGGCCATCCAGGCTGGTTTCCCAGAGAGGGTCCCCAGGATCTAGCTTGAAGGTGGCCGGGGGGATGTCGGCAGTGGCGCTGGGAGGCAAGGTGGGGCAGACACCAGGGGAGGGGACCCTTCACTCTTCAGTCGGTAAGTGTCCGTCCCTGGGCAGTGACTCCTTCTCTGGGTCTGCTGAGAGGAAAGACCTGCGCCTTCCTGGGTCTCTGGGGGCCAGGACTCCCGCCCGAGGGTCTTCTCTCCCGGGGTTCAGCCAGGATCAAGGAGATGCTGCTGGCGCCTCCACCTGCCTCCCAGCCCCCCCCCACCCCCCCAGGTGCCAGGCCGCTCAGCTCCCCCAGACAGCTCCTGATGGCATGTGGGCACTCCATGCCAGCGGGCTTTCTGAACTGTGGACTCTGCCCTTCTGCCCAGCAGAGCCCAGACTGGCCCCACCCCAGGCCCAGCTTTTACTCTGCTGCCCTATAGCCTGTCGGTTTCTCTCTCCCAAGGGCCTAGGCAGACGCCGCCCCGTCCTGGCTCATGCTCAGAGGTCCCATCCCCATGCAGGCCTCGAGTGGAAGGCGCCGCGCGGCCCCAGGTGTCTCACCCCCTGGTCTCCAGGGCCTGGAGTCCCTGTGTGGGCTTTTACTGCCCCCTGGTGGCTGAGTCGGGGTGGCCGGCTGCAGGAAGTGGTGGAGAGGGTGTGACTGGCTCTGGGTGCATTGGGGCCGCCTGAGTCCACCTTGTCCACCATGTCACTGACCCACAGGCTCATTGTCACCTCAGGGGCACCCAGTGGCAAGGAGACAGCTTTTTGTCACTGCTCAGCCTCAGGGCTGTGAGGAGATGAGGGGTTACCCCCCTTTCCTGTTCAGCCTTCCAGCTGTGCTCCCACCGGAGTGGGCAGGGCCCACACGTGAGCAGCCACACAAGCTGTCCAGCCCCTGCCTCAGCCCTGACCTCCTGCCCAGGTAGGCGGGAGGACCAGTCACGGGCTGGAGATTTAACGTCCTTCAGGGAGACAAGAAAGGTCTTGGGTTGTGTTTCGAATGCAAACAGCTGCATCCTGGGGCTGAAGAGGAGGCGAGGTGGGGCCATGTCTGGAGGGTGCTGGCACCTTGGCGACCTGTTGAGTGCACATCAGGGCATCCTGCCTGGCTGTCTCTGCCACCTAAGGGCTTGGCCATCCATTCCTTCTCTTCTCTTCAGTTTGAAAGCTGACTGTTGTCCTCTCTCTCTTCCTGTCTGCCCCGCCCTGCCCTGCCATGTGGTGAAGTCCGCCCAGTCGAGCCCATCCAATTCCAGCTCCAGCTCTGATTCCAGTTCAGATTCGGATTTTGAGCCGTCTCAGAACCACAGCCAAGGTGCGTGCTGGGCAAGGAGTCAGTGGGGGTGACAGGCTCCCTGACCTCCCCAGGGGCCAGCAGGGCACTAGACCTGTTATGGAAGCCAGGGGTTCACAAGGAATTTCCCGAAGCTGTTGACTCTCTGGAGGCTTCCTCATGTACACCCAGAGTCTGAAAACTGCCTCCAGAACTGGAGAAACCTGAGGGTAGGGTGGCTCCAGCCTATGCTAAACTTGCCCCCAGGGCTTCCTTTTAGGATGCAGTTTGTCACATGGGGCCTCCCAAACTGGCCTGGGTCACCTGGCCGCCGACTGTCCCTCTCCCAGGCCCTCAGCTTTGTCCATCTGCACAGAAGGGCTTTGAGCTGGGCTTTGGATCTGTGTTAAAGGGCTCTGTTCTGACCTGAGCCCTGCCCTTACCAGGCCTCTCCTCTCCAGTCCTACCAGATGCAGGGTCCTTGCCTCTGCTGCCCCCAGCCAGCCAAGGGCTCCAGCTCAGGCCCCCTTGGCAGCCTGGTCCCTGCAGGCCTCCTGGGGTGCTTGAGGGGAGGTGGCCCAGCCAACCCTTGCCCACCCTCACACCGGAAGCACTTGTGGTGGATCACACAGAATTTCCTCCACAGCCTGGAGCCCTTTTTGAGGATGGGGGAGTGCTGGGGGAGGTGAACGTATTGGGATGGGGGGCTGACATAAAGACACAGTCCCGAGGGGGCTGGGGGATGGGGTGCTCTGAGCCCACACTCTCTCCAAGGGTTCTTATCTGTGGGGAAGGGAGGGGGAACCTGCCATGCGGGGTCATGTGACCAAGGTAATTGAGGGCTTTGTGTCCCTTTGTTGCCTCAGTAACAGGAATATAAACCAAGATGCTGTCTGTAGGGGATTGGAACTGAGTGTCTCTGGAGAAAGGGAGGACAGTGGGATGGGAGCCTTTGAGGGGGCTGCCAGCCGCTGAGGGGGCTGCCAGGGGGCTGGGCAGGCTTGAGTAGGGGCACGGGGGGTGGGCAGGGGTGGTGTGTGGTCCACACCTCAGGCCATCTTGCACTCCTTGGCCGGGACTGGTTCGTGCTGCCTCCAGGCAGAGCTCTGATCCCAGTGCCCGGAGCAGAGGGGGGCTGTCCTTGCCTTGGCAATGGAGGGGCCCTGCGTGCCTGTCTCAGGACAGGGGCCGGAGGCCTGTGAGCAAGGCCAGGAAGGTAGGGGCAGGGGGGGCCAGGGGTCCCTTAAGGAGGAGGTGGCCACAGGGGCAGTGCTTGGAGATGGGCGACAGTCCCTACCTGGCCAGAGGAACCTCCAAGGTGCATTTGTGTGGGTGCATCTTAGGGGTTCTGGCATCAAGAAACTATGTGGCCCTGGGGGTGGAGGGGGCTCTTGGGCACAGGTGGGGCCCTGAACCCACTTCTCTCACTTTCCCTCCCTTCCCCTCTTCCTCCCTTTTGCCCTCGCGGCTCTCCCCAGGACCCCTGCGCTCCATGGTGGAGGACCTGCAGTCCGAGGAATCTGATGAGGACGACTCTTCATCAGGCGAGGAAGCCGCCGGCAAGACGAATGCAGGGAGGGATTCCAGGTGCCCGGCCAGTGGGGAGGAGCGGGCATGGGGGCACCGGGGTGGGGAAGAGAGAACCCACTCGGGAGCCCTGCCTGGGCATTGAGGGGGCCTCCGGGGGCCTCCTTCATCCCAGTGCTGGAGAGCGTGGCTGTGGAGTGGAGGTGGGGCCAGACACTCCGGGAAGAGTCCCGTTGTCACCTGAGAAGTGGGCCAAGGTGGTGCCTAGCAGCCTGACCTGGGCCCAGGCGTATGCCAGCGGAGCCTGGTTTCTCTGCTCTTGGCCCAGGCAGGGGTCCTTCCCCAGGTGGCCGGCACTGGGCTGGGACACACTGAGGACTGTCCTTGGACTCAAAGACACCCCGGGTGGGAACAGCTGTGGCCTGGGGAAGGGCCACGTGGCCTTCCACCCAAGTGGAGTGAGCCAAGACACCTCCAGACACCCCTGGGCCTGGGAGTGCCCCCACCTCAGGGATTGCTGTCCGTGCTGGCCTTGGCCCCAGGCCTTGGGGGTGGGCAGACTCAGGGTCAGCAGCTCAGTCTGGGTCCAGTCCTTTCTTCCAATGAGGCCGAGCCCTTCTAGCCTCTGGGGCTCTTCACTAGGTCTCACCCAGCAGGCAGGGCAGTGAGCAGCCCATGCTCGTTGTCCTGTGCTGGTGTTGCTTGTGAGAGCCGCCGTCCTGGGGGCCGAGGCCGTGGGAACGGCTGCTATGGGAGCCTGGGCTCCCTGGGCAGGATGGCAGGGGATGGCGCTCAGAGGGATGCCCCTCCTGGGCAGGGAGGGGGGATGGTGACCCGCCCGAGACGGGACTAGTGGCAGTGGTCCCCCCCTGGGTGGTGCTGGTGACTCTTGAGTGCGAACCTTAGTGTGGACCCTGAGTGTGGATTCCAAATGTGGATCCTGAGTATGGATCCCGAGTGTGGATCCTGCTGGAAGTGGGTGTAGGGGGCTCAGGGGCTGGTGAACGTGCGCCTGCTGATGGGGGCTCAGGTGGCAGTGCCAGGGCTGAGCGAGCGTCAGAAGACGTCTCACTGCTGGGTTGAAGGGGTGCAGGTGGAAAGCAGGACGGGGCTGCCTGGGGCACTGCATCCATCAGGAAAGGAGCCCCATGGACCCTAATGCTGGTGCCCAGCCACTGCCTGGTAGAGACAAGGCCGTCAGGCCACTCCTGGGCACGCTCACCAGCAGTTCCTCTCAGGTAAGGAGAGGGGCTGTCTGCTTCTCCCTGATACTCTGCCTCTGGGGAGGTGGTGGGGAGAGGAGAGGACTGGAGCCAGGGAAATAGGCAGGCCTAGCCTAGGGGTGCATGAGGCAGGAGCCTCTGAGGATCAAGGCTGCAGCCAGCATTCTGGCCCTGCCTTTACGCCAAAGCCCAGCTCAGCAGGAGAGAGGCGGCAGGCAGGAGCGACCATATACCTGATGGATTCTGCCCAAGGGTGCTGTGCGTTGCCACCCAGAAGCAGTGGGAGGAGGGGGAGCTGGAGAGGGGCTCCGTCAGCACCGCCTGCTGATCTGTGGGGGAGGGGTTTCTGGAAAAGCTAAAGGAATGGACCAGCTCTTTCCGACCAGACTGAGGGCGGTGTGGGTGGAGGGAAGCGCTGTCAGGTGCAGGCTGGCTGGGGGCATCAGGCAGCCACACCCTTCCCTCTGTGAGAGGGCGCCCCCCAGGAGGTGCGGACTGGAGCCCCCCAGGAGGGGATGGGCGCCTGAGGTCACCACTTGGGCACAAAGGGCCCTGTGTTCTTTTCTCCCGGGGTGTCAGGCTGAGGTGGAACCATCCGTCGCTGGCCATGTCTCTCCTGCAGGCCCCTCCACCCACACAGCAGTGAGCGTGGAGCCCGCCCACCTGGAGTTCTGACCTCAGAGACACACAGGGACTCCAGAGACCCAGGGGCACCCCAGAGACCCAGGGGGACCTCAGAGCCCCACAGGGCAAGCATGCTGGTCTCTGGGTTCCTTGCTCTTTGATGGCAGCTCAGAGACTTTCTATTAAGTTGGCAGTGGCTGCCTGGAGCTGGGTGAGGGGGTCTCCGGACCTGTAGGGGGAATGCTGGGTGCTGGCCTGGCCCCAGGGAAGGGCTGAGTCCGTCCCAGAGCTTCACTGGGAGTCTGCTGGGCAGGACTGCCTCCCTGGAGCTCTGGGTGGCCAAGGCCTAATGGGGTCATTTCCATGTTCAGGTTGAGCTTCAGTGACAGTGAGAGCGACAATAGCGGAGACTCCTGCCTGCCTAGCCGGGAGCCCCCTCCGCCCAAAAAGCCACCTCCACCCAACAGCAAGGTAACTTCCTGGAGGCCAGCTGAGGGTTGGGCCTGGCATTTGCCAAGTCTCTGAGGCTGAGGGTGGGGGCACAGTAGAAGGTGAGCTCACCTCTCAGGTCCCAGTAATAGTCTGCTCCCTGGGATGGGCTACTCTTACAGTCGGGTCCAGGGCCAGAGGAAGGACAACGGGTGGACCCAGTGGGGGCTGGGGAAGGGGGGCACAGGCCAGCACTCACACAGACTGGGGTTCACCCCACAGGCATCAGGCCGCCGGAGCCCAGAGCCCTGCAGCAAGCCAGAGAAGATCCTTAAGAGGGGCACCTACGACAAGGTAGGGGCCGGGACGGTGAGGGGGCTATGGCCTGGTGGGGCCGGGACAGTGAGGAGGCTACAGCCTGGTGGGGCCGGGACGGTGGGGGCCTATGGCTAGGTGGGGCCAGGACGGTGGGGGGCTATGGCCAGGTGGGGCTGGGATGGTTGGGCACCTATGACACAGCACCCAGGGTGGGGTGGGGTTACGACAAAATGGGGCTGTCCTGTTGGAGGGCACCAGCCTGGAGCTGCCTGGGTGTGGTGCGGGTTGGGAGGGGCAAGTCACCCCTGAGTGCCCCTCTGCCCGCAGGCCTACACTGATGAGCTGGTGGAGCTGCACCGGAGACTGATGGCCCTGCGGGAGCGCAACGTGCTGCAGCAGGTACAGACAGATCCCTGCCCCAAGACTCCCAAGGGCATGGGTCTCAGAGGAGTCCTGGGTGGGATGCTCTCAGGAGCATTAGGCAGCCCTCAGGAGCCGCCTCCTTTTCTTTGAGGGCCTGGTGGGGGGCGGGGGCCACCCCAGCCCAGCATCCTGCCCATGAAGCCTCCCTGCCCCCTCCTTCCAGATCGTGAACCTGATTGAGGAGACTGGTCACTTCAACGTCACCAACACCACCTTTGACTTTGACCTCTTCTCCCTGGATGAGACCACCGTGCGCAAGCTGCAGAGCTACCTGGAGGCCGTGGCCACATGACCCTGGGCCGGGTGCCGGGCCGCAACCCTGGGGTCCTGGGAGGCCACGTCCGGGCCCCGCCTTCCCCCTTCTCTCAACTCACCCGCCCGCAGCACTGCCTTAGTGACCGCCCTGTCCTTGGCCCACATGGCCAGCTGCACTTTCCTCATCAGGAGCCCTGGGGCAGAGGGGGGCCAGGCCGGCGCTGCTGCTCCCCGACACCCAGGGCTGTTACCTGGGCCCCCCTGGGAAAGCGGCTTGTGCTGGAGGCGGCACCGGGCCTCACTCCTGAAGGGGAGGAAGCGTGCCCTGTGTTGGGGGCCTGGCTCCATAGTGGGGCATGTGGCACAGCTTCACTGCCCGGGCCCTCTGAGCAGCGGGGGCCCTGCCTCCAGCCTCTCCAAACGGTTCAGAACACACCCGCCGTGCTCCAGGACCTCAGAGGGCCCCCGCTGCACCTGGACGGGCCCCACTCACCCTCCCGTGAGCTGACACGGTTCCGTGTCGGCTCTCACTGTGCTGGGACGCGTGCTGTATAGTCCTCTCCCTGTTATATATGTGTCTGCACTCTAGGTACCGCAGCAGGTTCCAGGGGTGTGTTTCCGTGGCAGCAGTGCACGCTGGGGGGTGGGGGGTGTGTAAGGCGGGACTTGTAGGTTAAGATGTCTCCACTGGTCTTGTTGTCGTCGGGCTGGAGGCCGAGCCGGAGCGCCAGCCGACCCCTCCAGGGGTAGGGAGGATGCCTCTCCCTTCCCCCGGCCGGTGAACACTATGCGCCGCCATCTCCGGAAGCAGCCCCCGGCCCGGGGCTCGTCCTCTTCTTCCTTCCATAGGATCCTCTTCCTTCTGTTGACCGAGTCTTCAAACTTTGAAAAAAAACATGAGCTTTTGCCAAATAAGACGGGATAGTTTGTGGAGTGTTTTGCGGAGCGTCAGGACTCAGAGCCAACCCCTCACGCCTGGGCCCCGGCGGGCAGCAGGCCTTCCCACCCCTGCGAGTTGTGCCAGTCCAGGGCCAGAGACCCAGCGCCTCGCACGCCTGAAACTCTCCAAGGGCCAAGCCAGCTCCTCCTCCCCACCCCGGCCGGAACGTCCTTGTGGGGAAACTCCTGGGCCTGGGGGCCTGTTCGTGCAGCCTCTGCTCTCCCAGACCTCGACTCCAGGCTCCTCTGGCCCCCACCGGCTCCAGCAGAGGAGGCCTGGACCAGAGCTGGGCTCACCTCCTCCCCCACCGCCGTTGGATGGCCCCTCTCTTCCCGGTTTGTGAGTACACACGTGGGGTGCGCCAAGCCCCCCTTCCCTGTGGTCCCCGGGCATTGTCAGTGCTCCAGTTTGGTCTGTCAGGCAGACCCCCAACACTCCCTCAGGAGCCCCGCCCCCAAGGCTTCCCCAAAAGCCAGCCTTGCTGGTGAGACCCCAGGACCTGGGGAGGCCCAAGAACTTTCCGAGGAAAATGCCATGACTCCTCGCCACCTGCTCTGAATCTCTCCCACCCCACTGCCTCGAGGTATCAGGAAGAGGGCAGGCCATGTGGCAGGCTCTGTGCCGCCACCCATTTCCCCAGGCAGGCCAACAATACTCCGAAGTGGAGCACCTCTCCTCTGGAAACTAAGACATTGGACAGAAGGGACTGGCCTGAGGGCAGCAGCTGCCGGGCCCTCTGTGCACAGGGGCCGCCAGGGTCACAGGTGGGAGCCTCAGTCCAAGGGCGCTAGTCTTTTTCCTTCTCGAGGAGCTCCTGACTTGGTGACTCGGGCAGCCCTCTGCTCAGGAGCCGGGCTCTGCGCCGGAGGCAGCTAGAGGAAGGCTGGGCTCATGGGTCTGCCCTTAGCAGCAGCAGAAGCTGGCCCTGCTTCTGATTTCCAGGGCCTTCAGAAGCACCAACCCATTTCTGTTACCTCCTCTGGCCAGAAGGCCCCTGCGCTGTCCTCTGGACCTACTCTGGGCTCAGTGCTGGCCCTGCAACCACCTGATGGACGTGCCAGGCAGCCAGGGCCCTGGCCACGGCATTCCCAGCTGCTCCCCCACCCCAGCCCCAGCTGCCCGGCAGCTGGGCCCACCAGGGCTCTGGGGAACACTTCCATAGGAAGGGCCGGCACTTTGTGATGGCCGCGTGTTTAGTGTTAACCCCCTTGCCCCCAGTGCAAATCCCCGTGTTTTGCTCTCTCCTGAACAAAATGTAAACCGACGCCTGAAAGCGAAAGGTATCGAATACCTTTCTTACCCACAAGGGTTTTTTGTTTTTGTTTTGTTTTTTTACAAAGAATGTGTCTCACTAGGAACTAGGACACTCATCAACCTGAGACCAACTCCTGGATAAAAGGAATAAAGGAGAATCGTGTTTGTAATAAGTCACAGGATTGTGTCTGTCCTGGGTTTCAAACTTTCTTTTTGTTAAATTGTGAAATTATGGAGGAGTTTTATAGAAAAAAAAGTGAAATAAAGTCAGACGGGAATGCAGAGCTCTGTGTAGGGCTTTGTGCGTCTGCTTGGTTCGCTCTGTCGTGGCATTGGTGAGTGGAGGCACAAACTCCCACAGGGCCCCTTCTCTCCTCTCCCCGTCTCAGCGTTTCCAGGTGGACGACCGGGAAGAGGAGAGGGGGTTGGAGCCAAGCGAGGTGGGCACAGGGAGTGTGAGCAAGGCTGGCATCCCAGAGGGTATGGATGACACAACCAGAAACCTGAGAGGTGCAGGATGGCAGAGAGTGAACTCTGCCATCCTGATTTTGATGGTGTGTTCTTTCCTTGAAAGCAGGGAGCAAATTTTGGGTTGAAAAGCAAGCCTGACCTCAAAATATGGATGAATGTGTGGGTGAGTAGATGAGTGAGTGGATAGATATGGGAATCGGTGAGTGGATGGATGAAAACCAGACAGAAAATGTGGGCAAAGACATCCTTTGTGAGGTGCCAGGGTGCTTGTCAGCCAGTTTGTCCATGGGGTTTGCTCTGGACTTGGTGTGGCAAAGCTGAGTGAACCCCAAGGAGACAACTCTCCCAGGCTCTATCTAAGCAGTCTTGTCTACCCTGTGGGCTCCAGTCCTACCAGAGGGACAGAAGATTCATTCCAGAATGGTCAGCATTGGCTAGTACCCTCCAGCCACTCTGCCCACAGCAGGTAATTAAAATCACTTCTGTCATTTGGCAGCCACTTGGGGAGACAGCTGGCCACACCAGGGTACTCAAGATAATTTTGTCTGTTTTCTAATCAGTAGCCAGAATTTCCATTTTCAGCATCCAGGCTGTGGCCTCCCTGCCCTGTCTTTCCTACCAGGGATTCTGCAGGCCTTTTTGGGACGGTTTCTCATCTGAGCTCCTGAATTAGGGACACAGAGGAAAAGAGGGTCTAGAATGGTTCCCACTGTTCCCAGACACCGCCCCACCCCCTCGCCCCACCAACACACACATACACAGAGTAAAGGACAACTACGTATAAAAATACGGTAGGGTTTGCTACAAACCAGGTGTTGGGCTGAGAGTTGTTGCACAGATTCCACAACCACTCGGTTAGGGTAGGCACTGCTGTCAGAATTCCCACAACCGGTGAAGAAACATTCTGCAAGAGTTGACCTTCCTACATCCATACAGCTAGGAGGCACATTCCCGACACTCAAGGTCAGGTGTGTGTTAACTTTATTGCTTACAGTAAAGATTTCTTTGTATTTACCCATATAATCACCTCCTGGGGTATGCTTTCTGAATTTCCATCTGGAATCATCTTCCTTAAGCCTGAAAAAAATCTCACTAGCATTTCATTTATTGCAGTGATGAATTCTCTCAGCTTTTGTTCATCTGTAAACACCTTCCTTGTATCTTTATTCTGTGAAGATATTGTCATTAGGTATAGAATTCTAAATTGGCAGGTATGGTCTGTCCCCACCTCCTGCTTGCTGCTCCATCATCTTTTGGCTTCCATTGTTTCTGTAGAGAAGCCAACCCTTCAGTGTCATTTGTTGCCCTTTTGAGGATCATGTGACTTTCATCTCTGGTGCCTTTAAGATTTTGTCTTTTAGTTGGAAACAATTTCATGTATTTTAATGATTTGTTTCTTCTATTGATATGACATCTGCATCCCTTTTAAATGCTTTTGCCTTGAATTGTTCCAAATATTTTTTCCAATCTTTTTTCCTGTTTTTGGCCAAGCCACACAGCATGTAGGGTCTTAGTTCCCCAACCACGGATGGAACCCACATCTCATGCATTGGAAGCATGGAGTCTTAACCACTGGACCACTAAGGAATCCCTCAAATTTTACGTCTATACTTTGGTGATGCAGGCACAAGTACAAAGTTTCCAGGGACACATGTGCTGTGAGTGGTGATCCTCATTCTTACTTCTTTTCCTTCTCCACTTTCTTGCACAGCTCTTAAAAGCCATCTGTGCATGAACAAGACAAAACTGTACCGGTGATACCATACATGCATCCTTTTCTCTTACTATATCTTAGAGTTCATTCCAAATTAGCATGCCGTGTAAAGGCACCATAATTTACATAACTCATCCTGCTGGTGGGCATTTAGACTCTTCCCTCGTTTACTTCCATGACCACAGGTAACTGCACATGTTCAGGTGCGTGACAGCATCTGTGCTCAACAGCTTTTGTGGTGGATCTGCCTATTTTATACCAGGTTTCTTGGTATTTGTGTCTGTGTGCTTTTGTGTCTATGTGTATTTTTAGGAGCTCCTTATGGAATATGTAATGTAGGGCTTTGGAATGTATTCTGTTTCCCCAGCTTGTCTGTAGGTTTTGTTTATGACATTTCCACCATGCTGAAGTCCTTTCTTTCGATGGTTTTTGGGTTATTAACATTTTATCTAGGATGATTTTTTTTTTTTAAGTTCTCTCCTGGTTTCTTCCCTCCCTCCTTTCTTTCTCACCTTCCAGTTTGCCATGAGTTAGGGCCCCAGTGATACATTACTCAATTCCTGCATGTATTTCTCAGTCCCTGACTTCTCTCTTCTGCATATCTATTTATGTCCCATCACTGAGCTTTCAGTTACTTCTGCTTTGTCATTTCTTTAATATGTGGTAGGGCAAGCCTCACATCCCCACCCCACCTCCCCATCAGTATTCAAGAAATCACTCCAATGTCCTTGCATGCTTGTTTTCCCACATAAACTAATCAGCTTATGTTTTTGAAAATTTATCTTGTTCTGAAGTTTTACATTAACATTCTGTTTTGAGTTCTGATTTAAAAAAAAAACATACTGGGTAGCATTTGGTGGGGTGCCGGAAAACTCTCATTCATATGTCTTCATATGTTGCTTCTTGCGTTTTCTGCTTCTGCACATCCTATGACATAGGTTGGAACCTATCTACCTACCTTTCAGATCTCTAACCAACTGTTCTCCCTGCAGCCACCAGAGGGCGCCTGTGAGCTCCTGAGTCAGATCTGGTTCCGTGCCTCCTGCCCTCCCCCTGGGCTCCCTCCAGCTAAAAGCCCCAGGTCCTCCCCATCCCGCAGCCCACAAGACGGCCGTCCTCGCTTCCTGCCCTCACCTCCCTCTCTACCAACCCTCTCATTTTGCTCCAGCCAAGCAGGCCTCTTCTCTTCCTCCAATTGGCCAGCCACGTTCCTACCCTAGGCCCTTAACCTCTGCCTACAACACCTTCCCCGGAAAGTCACACAGCTCCCTCCCAACCGCTTTTAAATCTCTTGAAATTTCTGCCTCATCTCCTTGGTCACCATGTTAAAATTTCAAACCCCCAACCCTGGCTAGTCCACCCGCTTCATGCTTCAGTTTTCTCTGGATCACTGTGTACTCAATGCATACTTTATTATGCTGACTGGACAAGCCCCTTGAAGTCTCTTACCATGAGTCTCAATCTGAAAATTGGGCATTTATTCATTGAACGCATACCTGAGGAGACAGTGCTCTCCTAAATCCTGGGGTCCCATAGGGAACAAGGCAGTCCAGCCCCTCACCCTCATAGAATTGACCAACTAAACAAATGATACAACCATGGTAGCAGGTGGCCGATAGGGCTGAGCAGAAAATTTTAAAAGGGTGTGGGAGTGGCGGGGGTGGGGAGGTGGGGAGGGCGGTCAAGAATGACCTGACTAAGGAAATGGGACTCATTGGAGAAGAGTCACAGTAACAGCAACTGTAAGACTATCTAATGTGGATGCAATGCTTGTGTGCCAGGAGCTATTTGATACGCGTAAATGCATGAAATCCTTGTAGAAAATCTTCGTGCTAGGTGCTATTATATTTTACTTTATATATTTATGTAAAAATGTCAATATCCCTCGTCTTGCAGATGGGTAAACTGAGGCACAGTGAACCTGGGTAGTCTTTTTTCCACACACAAAAAAAGTCGCACGCATTTAAGGTATACATGTTGATGAGTGAGGTTAAGTAATTTGAGCAAGTACACCCTGGGTGATGGGGGAAGCTGAGATTCGAACCTGTGAACTCGGGCAGCTTCAGACAAACCAACCAGAGACCCGGAGTGAGGGTACCCCCAACGCCGCTAGAGCGAAGACATGGCGCGCAGCCGCAAGAGGGGAGGCGCGGCGCCAGGGGAGTGGCGCGCAGGCGCAGGAGCCGGAAGAGGGCGCGGCGCAGGGCACGCTGGTTCCTGAGGAAAGCCAGGAGGCGCTCCCGTAGTACTCGACGTAGGTGAGCCGGTGGCCGTCGTGCCAGTGCTTGGAGCTGAGCCGATATAGTTGGCCTACTTGATGGCCTTGCCCAAGACCGTGTCGTGCTCGGTGACGGACGCCTCTCTGACGAAGGCGGGCTCGTGCCACAGGTTCTCCCCGCCATCCCGCTTCGTGGGCCAGTAGCGGTAGGCTGTGGGCAGGTCAGAGACCTCACGTAGGCGAGAAAAGGGAAGGGGGCGCAGAGACGGGGTGTGGCACCGATGGTGTGGCTAACCAGGGTTCTTGGTCTCTTTAATCAGTAGGAACTGTTGAGGCCAGAGGGAAGTTGAGGCAAGGCTTCTCTGGGGTCCCTGCTGTAGCAGCGGAGAGAGAAAACAAGCGACAGATGTCCGTCCTTGCTCTGAGAGCGGGGAGCCGAACTGGTTCCTTATACGGGATGGGTCCAGGGGTTGGGCAGGAGAGGTGGCTTGGGTGGTGCTGTTTGGGGTTTTCGTCTTTTTGTGTCTTATTCATAATTTGCCCCCCCTTGCTTATGCACACAGTTGTTTTTAGTCCCTTATAGTTTCTTTGTGTTTTCTCACTGGAGGAGATGTTTGTCCAAGGGCGGGCACAGCAGCGAAGTGTCCCAAGTCCCAGCCTGTCTCAATGCAGGTAGAGAAAATGGAGGAAGAATGGGATGGGGGTGGGGGGAGAGCCATGAGAGAGAGAGTGAGAAAGACCAGGGCTTGCTGGTGGAGAAAGGATGCAGGGACGGGTGGACAGACAGATGCACGAGAGAGCAGAGGACAGCAGCAGACCCACCGGCAAGTAGGCAACTCAGTCCTAGTGGTCCTCCTCTAGACCCCTCCCCACCAGGGTCAGGTGCCTCTGAGAACGGGTGACCACCCCCCTACACACACACACACACACACACTCCTAGCACGCGCACACACACACACACACACACACTCCTAGCCCAGTACACACACACACACACACACACACACTCCTAGCCCAGTATCCAGGCAGAGGGACAGTGACCTCCTCTCCAAAACTAAAGTTCTGACTGGACCCCCAAGGACCCCACTGATTGAGGGTCATTTCTGAGGGAACCCCCCCCCCTCAAATAGCCTCTCTGGGAGCCCTGCCAACCACAGTCTGAGCGTAAGGAGCCCCTGACTGGCTTTCATGTCTGGTGGGTGGGGTCTCTCCTTCACTGAACTCTGTCCTGGGTGAGGACATGGCTTCCAGGGTACTTTGACAAGTCTGTTCTCACCTGTCTGTGGGGCACCTGCTCTCCAGGGACTGGGCAGACAGATATTCTCAGAGACACAGTTGCAACCAAGTGGAAGGTGGGGAAGGCACAGGGCTCCCCTCTAGTCACAGGGTGGTCATGAAAGGCCTCTCTGAACAGTGGGTAGGAGTGGACCAGGCAGAGAAGGGAGGGAGAAGCATCTGAGAAGAGAGCAATGTGTTTTAGGCTGTTGGGACTGGGGGAGAAGAAGTGGATGGTGGGGAACGAAAAGAGACAAAAGGGCCAGATCACATGAGGTCCTCTTGGCCGTGTTAGTAAAGAATTGTTTTCTGGTATTTCTGTGCCCATCCCACCCACATGCAGTGTTTCATCCCTGGTAGAGGCTGAAATCTCTGCCTTCCACTCAGCAGGCATTTTCACCTTGTCTGTCGTCAGGAGGGCAGTGCCTACCCCTGTCTCCAGTTTCTTTTTATCTGTTTTGGTCACCTCCCCACCTGCTGCTCCCTGCTGCAGCCACCGGGGGAGCAGCAGTCTCCAGCGTGAACATCCAGATCATTCCTGCCTGTAGCCAGCTCCTGTAACGTCACTGGATTCCACAGCCTGAATCCCTCCTGGAAGCACAGCCTCCTGTGCCTGTGCAGAGGCCAGTCTTGGGGGTTGGGGCAGAGGTCCACCCAAGAAGCCCCTTCACCCTGTGCCTCTGCAGCCCCTGGTTCGCAAGGTGACAGTCCCCAGGGAGGCTGCTGCTAAGTCACTTCAGTCCAACTCTTTGAGAGCCCATGGACCGTAGCCCACCAGGCTCCTCTTGCATGGGATTTCCCAGGCAAGAATACTTGGTGGGTTGTCACCTCCTCCTCCAAGGGATCTTCCCGACCCTGGGGTCAAACCTGCATCTCTTTATGTTTCCTGCATTGGCAGGCAGGTTCTTTTCACTAGCACCACCTGGGAAGCTCCCCATCCCCATCCCAGGGAGGAGCTGACCAGGGAGAACCTGGTCTTAGGTTCAAGTCTGACAGCTGAATAGGATTCCAGAGTCAGTGCTCAGCGTTCATGGTTGGCTTTCAGAGAAAGCATTCACAAGGAAGCCTGAAAAAGAGAAATGAGATGGAGGAGGGAGATCATGGAGGAGGCAGACACAGAAGGTGTGATGTCATGGGGGCCAAGGAAGCAGAAGGTTTCAAAAAGCAGAACAGCAATAGCAGGACCTAGGGCCCCCAAAAGGTCAAGGACCTATGCCCAGGGGGCTCGTGAACTCGTTTACCAACCAGGCATGTCCTAGAGTCTCCTGTGTGTGTGCAGCTACCTTGTCAAATATTGTTGGATGCTGTTGAGATTGATGAACTGAGAAATCATTTAAAAGCCTCTCTGGTTCCTTAAAAAATTAAACATAGAATTACCATATGACCCAGCAATCTTATTTCTGGTTATGGAACCGAGAGAATTGAAAGCAGGGACTAGAAGAGAGATTTACACACCCACATTCACACACAGCAGCATTAATCAGAGTAGCCCAAAGTGACCCACTCTGACAGATGAATGGAAAAACAAAATGTGGCCCAATGGAATGTTATGCAGCTTTCAAAAGGAGAGAAATTCTAACGTGGGCTACAATATGGATGAACGCATTGAAGATCTTATGCTCAGTGATATCATCCAGTTACAAAAAGATAAATATTCCACTCATATTAGGTACTGAAATGAGTGGGCTTCATAGAGACAGGAAGTAGAATGGTGGTTGCTAGGAGAGAGGGGAGAGAGGGTGTGTGGGGAGTTGTTTAAAGTGTACAGATTTTCAGTTTTGCAACATGTACAACTCAATGCACTTAACCCCATTGGACTCTATATTTTTAAATGGTTAAAATTATAAATTAACATAAAATAGTATATTTTACATTTACCACAAATTTAAAAGTAAATTTTAAAAATGCCTTTTTAAACTTAGTAGCTTTTTTTTCCACTTATTTTTATTAGTTGGAAGAACAACTATTAAGAGAGCAGTGAGGCCAGACTGAGAACTGTTGAGAAAATACATATATTTCTTTACTGAGTTTGAACATTTTTTTGACAATATAGACAGCTATATTTCTTTGATGAGGGATAAGTATTGAAAGTAAAAAAAATATTGACAAAGATATGTTGAGCATGAAAAAATGGCCTATATGTTTTGAGAAATACATTGGCAGTGAAGCATCTAGATATTAACACAGATCGCCTCCCCCAGCTTTCCCATATATTAACATCAACCATCTAGAAAAAGGAAGAAACCACATCCACAATGGAAACACAGGCTATAAACTAGAGTTAAGTTGACCGGACACTATATGAAGTAGTTAATAGATAAAATCATTAAGGTTTAGGGAACTCCCTGGTGTCCAGGTGTTAGGACTCTGTGCTTTCACTTCATGGGGCACAAGTTCAATGCCTGGTCAGGGACCTAAGGTTCCACAAGCCTTGGAACATGGCCCCCCAGAATTTATTAAGGTTTTCTAAAGAAAAGATATGAGTAAATTGAAAAAGACATTAATGAATGAGAAGGCTGGATCTACATTGTAAAAGTTAAACTCTTCTGTAGATTAGTCAGTATAAACAAGCAACTTGAATCAAAATCTCCACAGAAAGTTTTATGGAACTTAGGTTGTTTTAAAGTTTACATAGAGGGCTCCCCTGGTGGCTCAGTGGTGAAGAGTCAACCTGCTAATGCAGGAGACACAGGTTTGATCCCTGGTCCAGGAAGATCCCATGTGCCGCAGAGCAACTGAGCCTGTGCGCCAGAACTTTTAAGCCTGTCCTTTAGAGCTGAGCCTGGGAGCTGCAACTACTGAAGCCTGTGTGCTCCAGGGCCCTTGATCTGCAGTGGAAGAGGCCACTGCAGTGAGAAGCCAGTGCACTGCAACTAGCGAAACGCCCACGCAGCAACGAAGACCCAGCAGCACCACAAATAAAGTAAAACAGAGGGTCTACATAAATACTAAGTGCAAGAATAAAATAACAAAGGAAGCTTTGTCTTGCCAAAATCGAAACATAAAGCTATCATCATTAAAACAACATGAAGGACTTGTGACCGGAATGTACAAAGAACTCTTGTGAGCCAACAATAAAAAGACAAAGAATTCAGTTTAAAAATGGGCAAAGAGTTTGGACATTCTTTGCCCAAAGAAGATTCATGTAGGGATATTTGTGATACAGCCCAATGATGGAATATGACTCAGCCATAAAAACAAATGACTGATATGCAGAAATGAACTCATGCTATGTGGGGAAAGCCACTCGAACAGCCACTACTGGCCTGGAAGGTGATGAATCCCAACCCCATTCCAACAGGCGGAAGCTAGGAAGATAAAAACTGTATCCCCCAGAATCTCGTATGGAGAGGGTTCTGGACATAACTTGGATTCCACTAATCAGGACTGATTTGGACATGACCCATGTCATGTTCCCAGTAGAAACTGGGTGCTTCTGGGGCCAGCAGCAGGGGCATCAGCTTCTTGCCTGGGCCAGAAGTCTCCTGACCCAGCGGTCTCTTGGGCAGAAGTAGTTTTCCTGGTCCACAGCAGAGATGGTGTGGTTCCACTGTCAGCTCAAACCAGTCAGTCCTAAAGGAAATCAACCCTGAATATTTGTTGGAAGGGCTGATGCTGAAGCTGAAGCTCCAATACCTTGGCCACCTGATGTGAAGAGCCAGCTCATTGGAATAGACCCTCATGCTGGGAAAGATTGAGGGCAGGAGGAGAAGCGGTGACAGAGGATGAGATGGTTGCATGGCATCACTGATTCAATGCGCACAAGTTTGAGCAAGCTCCAGGAGATAGTGATGGACAGAGAAGCCTGGTGTGCTGTAGTTGATGGGGTCACAAAGAGTCAGACATGACTGAGTGACTGAACAATCACCACCACCTTCAACTACTGGAGAGGTGATGGAGCCTCCTGGACTGGGGAACTAGAAGTTGTTCTTAGAACATACTCTTCCAGGCCCACTAGTGATTCCCAACCACACCCCCCCCCCAAATTATTTGAGTTATGACTTACAAACCATAAAATTTACTCCTCATAACAGTACACAGACTTGTAATAAATTCATACTGCGTGAAACCGTTGGGACCCTCTGGGCTTTTTGTACCTGGATGTCTGTTTTCTTCTTCCTGTCTGATTCCTGGGAGAATTGTTCCCATGTGTAGGTGTGTTTTTGATGCGTCTGTGGGGGAAGGTGAGCTCTCCATCCTCCTACTCCACCGTCTTAATCCCCCTTCCCTGGTCACAACATTTTTAAATAAAAATATTTACTGACAGGGACTTCCCTGGTGGTCCAGTGGCTAAGACTCACTCGAAATGCAGGGGGCCCAGGTTCGAGCCCCTGGTTGGGGAACTATGATTCTACATGCATCAACTAAGTAAGACCCAGTGCAGCTAAATAAAAATATTTTTTTTTTAAATAAGAAAAGTTAAAATAAAATTTATTTATTTATTTAGCTGCATTGGGTTTTAGTCATAGTGTGCGAGATCTTCATTGTGTCATGAAGGCTCTTTTGTTGTGGCACATACACTCCCTAATCGTGGCATGCAGGCTTCAGCATGTGCAGGCTCAGTGGTTGCGGCATGTGGGCTCTTAGTTGCTCAGCAGCATATGGGATCTTAGTTCCCTGACCAGGGATCAAACCCATGTCCCCTGCATTTCTAGGCGGATTGTTAACCACTGGACTTCCCTGGTCACAATATTTTTATTCACTGATCTGTACATACTTGTATCATGTGTATTTATGTTTGACAACACCTTAATAGACACAGATGATTCACTAGCATTGAGCTCATGGCCAACAGCACTGTAAGTCATGCCTGAATGAAGCTTATTTTGCATGTGTATGTTTTTCCATAAGGCACCTCATAGCTTTCTTGAACTCAAGACTGTTAGTCAGCACTTAAGCACTACACTTGGGGGCTGTTTTTAACAGTGAAACCACCAACAAAAATGCAGAAAACATAGCACTAAATAGACCCCCCAAAGACAGGTTCACAGCTGAAGCCAGGATGCACCTTGTTGGACCTTCAGCAAGCTGCAAACATGCATGTTGGGTTGTTAAACTTTTCCACTGCTCCACCCATTTCCAGAGATGGCTATAGAAATGCCAGATACATTAATTTTGGGGGTTAGTTGCTCAGTCGTGTCTGACTCTTTGCAGCCCTATGGACTGTAGGCCACCAGGCTCCTCTGTCCACGGGATTTCCTGGGCAAGAATACTGGAGTGGGTTGCCATTACCTTTTCCAGGGAATCTTCCCAACCCAGGGATCAAACCCATGTCTCCTGCGTTGCAGGTGTATTTTTATCTTTACAGTCTGAGCCACATGGGAAGTCCTCAGTGAGCAGGCAAACTTGTAAATATGGAACCTGCAAATAAAGAGGATTGACCATACTTACATAGTAAAAGTAGAAAAACTTACAACTTGTTGAGGAAGGCTTTAGCCTTATCTCTGTCAGATGCTCTTTTGTGAGGAGAACTTCTGTACATTTCTGATCGATTTATCATTTGGTGTTTTAAAGAGGAAACAGAAAAAAAAAAAAAGAAGGAGTGCCTCTGGGCATCTGGGGCCTGAAGGGGACACTGGAAGTTTCCTTCTTCCTGCCCTCGTGCTCGGTCCCTCTGTATGCCGGGAGATGTCCCCTGCCCACTCTCTACCTGTACTGATACCCTTTCAGGAACTGATAACTGTGTGTGTGCCATATCAGCTTTGGTTTGTCCAAACACGGACTATTGGATGAGAGAGGAAGAAGGTTCTATTTTCTTTCAAGCTGCTGCTGTCTCACATCTTACAACAACAGCAGACTCATTTGTCCCAGAAGATGTAATTCATAAAAAAATCACAGCTATTGGGACTTCCCTAGTAGCTCAGCAGTAAAGAACCCGCCTGCCAGTGCAGGAGATGCGGGTTTGATCCCTAGGTTGGGAAGATCCCCTGGAGGAGGAAATTCTCCAATATTCTGGCCTGGAAAAATCCCATGGACAGAGGAACCTGGCAAGCAACAGTCTATAGGGTTGCAAAGAGTCGGACACGACTGAAGTGACTTAGCCCGCACTCACACCTTCCCAAGACTCAGACCTGTGAACTCACACAGCCAGTCAGAATCTAAACCCAGAATCTGAACTCCTTGACAAAGGACAAGCTGTCCACATCTGGCCAAAAATCAGGACATGGGGCGCTAGAGAGCTTTATTGTCAGAACTCATCGGACAGGTTTTTAAGTTGCTTCCAGGAAGATGAGTGGGTTTGGGGGCCCGTTTCTTCTTCAAACCGGGCTTTTCTTCTCTGGTGTCTCTGCCAGTCCTCTGGGGAGGGGGAAAAAAAAAACAGTTGAAACCCACCAGGTCAGATCTTTCTTCTGAACAGGCAGTTCTTCAGGGTCATCCTCATCAGTTTCCTCAGGCTCACGCCCCGAAGGCCTGTAGGAATTCCAAGGTCTATGCTGACCTTGTTGCTTCAAGAGGCATGGCCAGTCCGAGAGTGTTTACCTCTTCCACAGGCGGATGACAAAGAGACCGACGCACAGGGAATGTGGCTTCTTAATAACACAAGAAACTCAAGTCCCTGTGATGGGGTCTTCCTCTTGCAGGCTAGAGAGAGGAGAAAGATAAGTTCTCATATGGGCACCCTTGGTATATGTGTGTTCATTCCCTGACATCCCACCACCCAGGGACTGTAAGATGGAACTGTTCCAGAATAAACAGATCCCCTTAGAAATTAAGAAAAAAACTGAATTCCTCTCCAGTGAACTTGAACTTGATTTACCTTTTAAAGAAATTTATTTTTTAATTGAAGGATAATTGCTTTACAGAATTTTGTTGTTTTCTGTCAAACCTCAACATGAATCAGCCATAGGTATACATATGTCCCCTCCCTTTTGAAACTCCCTCCCATCTCCGTCCTCATCCCACCCCTCTAGGATTATATGGAGCCCATGTTTGAATTTCTTGAGACATACAGCAAATTCCCGTTGGCTGGCTGTTTTACATATGGTAATATAAGTTTTCATGTTATTCTCTCCATACATCTCACCCTCTCCCCACCTCTCCCTAAGTGTATAAGTCTATTTTCTATGTCTCTTTCTCCATTGCTGCCCTGTAAATAAATTCTTCAGTACCATTTTTCTAGATTCCATATATATGTGTTAGAATACGATATTTAGCTTTCTCTTTCTGACTTACTTCACTCTGTATAATAGGCTCTAGGTTCATATACCTCATTAGAACTCAAATGTGTTCCTTTTTATGGCTGGGTAATATTCCAGTGTGTATATGTACCACAATTTCTTTATCCATTCATCTGTCGATGGACATTTGGTTGCTTCCATGTTCTAGCTATTGTAAATAGTGCTGCAATGAACAATGGGATACATGTGTCTTTTTCAATTTTGGTTTCCTTAGGGTATATGCCTTGGAGTGGGATTGCTGGGTCATGTGGTGGTTTTATTCCTAGTTTTTTTCAGGAATCTCCATACCATCTTCCATAATGGCTGTATCAGTTTACATTCCCACCAACAGTGCAAGAGCATTCCCTTTTCTCCACACCCTCTCCAGCATTTATTGTTTGTAGACTTTTTGATGATGGCCATTCTGACCAGTGTGAGGTGATATCTCATTGTAGTTTTGATTTCTCTAATAATGAGAGATGTTGAGCATCTTTTCATGTGTTAGCCATCTGTATGTCTTCTTTGGAGAAATGTCTTTTTAGGTCTTTTCTCCACTTTTTGATTGGGTTGTTTGTTTTTCTGGTATTGAGTTATATGAGCTGCTTGTATATTTTGGAAATTAATCCTTTGTCAATTGTTTCATTTGCTATTATTTTCTCACATTCTGAGGGTTGTCTTTTCACATTGCTTATAGTTTCTTTTGCTGTGCAAAAGCTTTTAAGTTTAATCAGGTCCCACTTGTTAGTTTTGTTTTTATTTCCATTACTCTAGGAGGTGGGTCATAGAGTATCTTGCTTTGATTTATGTCATTGAGTGTTCTGCCTTTGTTTTCCTCTAAGAGTTTATAGTTTCTGGTCTTAAATTTAGGCCTTTAATCACATTTTGAGTTTATCTTTGTGTATGGTGTTATAAAGTGTTCTAATTTCATTCTTTTACATGTAGCTGTCCAGTTTTCCCAGCACCATTTATTGAAGAGGCTGTCTTTGCCCCATTGTATATTCTTGCCTTCTTTGTCAAAAATAAGTTACCCATAGGGGCATGGGTTCATTTCTGGCTTTCTTTTTTTTTTTTCATATTCAGTGTTTTTATTTAATTTTTTTCAGCAATTTACATACCTCCCCACCCCTTCCTTTAAGTTAGTGTTGAAAACGTTCCATAATAAACTACTTAAAGAGAAGCTTTGGTCAAGAATAGAATGAAATTGCAAAACAAAACAAAACAACCGCCCAAACAAAACCCAAATCATTGCTGCTTTAAAAAAAACCAACACTTTTACCAATTATGTTCAAACGAAACACACAAGGAGGTTTGCGCCATGTATGTCTTCAGTGTTTGCTGGGGGCGGGCTCCCCTCCCCGTGCGAATGGCAGAGCTGCCCCGGCGCAGCCGGTCCGTCCTCATGCTGGGTCTGGAGGCACGCTCAGCTTCACATTATCCGAAGACCCTGGATGGAAGACTCTAAGGTCCTGAAATCCCAAATGGTCATGGCTCCGTCGATATTAGTAGTGCAAAATTTGCGACAATCTTGCTTGTCCACCTCATAAATAGACACTTGGGTGATGCTGTTGTGGTGCAGCGTCTCCAGCGCCGTGTTGCAGTCCTCGGTCGTGGCCCGCTTGTCCATGCTGCGGAAGCGCTCCATGGCTGACATGTTGCACTGGATTCTCTGTTTAGGGATGTCCAGCTTGGAAACAAAGGTCAAGCAGCTGCGGTCGTCATACTTAAAGAGCATGGGGCAGCAATCGTGGCCAGCAGCCACGACGCTGTTCTCTGAGACGAACGACACACTCAGGAGGGGCAGGAACTCTGTCTTCAGAGTTGAGACCTGCACGCTTTTTGAGGCATTGGCAACGGACACGGTGCTGTCGTGGCTGACCCAGGCCAGGCGGCTGCCACTGGCCGAGAAGCTGACCCCGTGCACCCAGACGCCGGTGCCGCTGCCACCGAACTCGGACATCAGCTGACCAAAAGGCATCTTGCTGCCCCAGGGCGTGCTGGCTGGCTTCTCATCCACTTCTTTAATGTAGGCAGAAAACACTCTACATTTGAAGTCGCAGGATCCCGTGGCCAGCAAGACGTTGTTGGGATGCCAATCCAAGCTGAGGACCATGGAGCGGATGGGCTTTTTAATGTGCTTGCTCACCCACCAGTCATTTTCAGACTCAAAGTAACAGACGGAGATGAGTCGTGCTCCGCTACCCACAGCAAACTTGTTCTCTAGCGGGGACCACTTGACGAAAGTGGCCGCCCGGTTAATTCTCAGGATCACCAGGGTTGGCTTCCAGACACCATCCTTCTGACTCCAGACGTAGGCATTGCGGTCAGCCCCGCAAGTGACGATGCGGTCACTCTTGGGAGCCCAGTCGATACCTGTGATGTGTCCATTGTGTTCCTTGAGTTCATGAGCTTTCACCCACTGGCCCCCGTTCTTCTTATAGATGTGGACTTCGTGATTATTGGGGCTAAGGGCGATCTGGGTACGATCCCTGTTCCAGGCATGACAGGTGATTGGCTCCAGTAAAAACTGATGCAGGGACATTATTCTTAGTGTTTTCAAAGGATAGAAAGCTGGGATCGGGGCCATCCGGACGGGCTCGGAGCGTTGAATTCGTGGACTCTGGTCAGTCGAGGCGAACAGGCTCCGGCGGGCGTGGGCAGAGGACTATTTCTGGCTTTCTATCTTGTTCTATTGGTCTGTATTTCTGTTTTTGTGCCAGTACCATACTGTGTTGATGACCGTAGCTTTGTAGTATAACCTGAACTCAGGAAGGCTGATTCCTCCAACTCCATTCTTCTTTCTCAAGACTGCTTTGGTTATTCGGGGTCTTTTGTGTTTCCATACGAATTGTGAAATTTTTTGTTCTATTTCTGTGGAAAATGCCTTTGGTAGTTTGATAGGGATCACATTGAATTTGTAGATTGAGTTTGGTATAGTCATTTTCACAATATTGATTCTTCCTACCTAGGAACATGGAATATCTCTCCATCTTTTTATGTCATCTTTGATTTCTTTCATCAGTGTCTTATAATTTTCTGTGTACAGTTCTTTTGTCTCCTTAGGTAAGTTTATTCCTAGATGTTTTATTCCTTTTGTTGCAATGGTAAATGGGATTGACTCCTTAATTTCTCTTTCTGATTTTTCACTTAGTATATAGAAATGCAAGTAATTTCTGTATATTGACTTTGTATCCTGCAACTTTGCTAAACTCACTGATTAGCTCTAGTAATTTTCTGATACTATCTTTAGGGTTTTCTATGTACAGTATCATCTCATCTGCAAGCAGTGAGACCTTTACTTCTTTTCCGATCTGGATTTTCTTTATTTCTTTTTCTTCTCTGATTGATGTAGCCAGGATTTCCAAAACTATGTTGAATGATAGTGGTGAAAGTGGACGTCCTTGTCTTGTTCCTGATCTTAGGAGGAATACTTTCAGTTTTTCACCATTGAGAATAGTTTTTGCTGTAGGCTTATCATATATGGCCTTTACTTTGTTGAGGTAGGTTCCTTCTATGCCCATTTTTTGAAGAATTTTAATCATAAATGAGTGCTGAATTTTGTCGAAGGCCTTTTCTGCATCTATTGAAATGATCATGTGGTTTTTATCATTCAGTTTGTTAATATGGTATATCACATTGATTGATTTGCATTTATCGAAGAATCCTTGCATCCCTGGAATAAACCCAACTTGATCATGGTGTGTGAGCTTTTTGATGTGTTGCTGAATTGTTTGCTAAAATTTTGTTGAGCATTTCTGTATCTATGTTCATCAGTGATATTGGCCTGTAATTTTCTTTTTTGTGTGTATTATCTTTGTCTGGTTTTGGTGTCAGGGTGATGGTGGCCTTGTAGAATTAGTTTGGAAGTGTTCCTTCTTCTGCAATTATTTGAAAAAGTTTTATAAGGATAGACATTAGCCCTTCTCTAAATGTTTGATGCAGTTCTCCCATGAAGCCATTTGGTCATGGGCTTTTGTTTTTTGGGAGATTTTTGATCACAGCTTCAATTTCAGTGCTTGTAATTGGGTTGTTCATAATTTATGTTTCTTCCTCGCCAGTCTTGGAAGATTGAACTTTTCTAAGAATCTGTCCAATTCTTCCAGGTTATCCATTTTATTGCCATATAGTTGTTACCATAATAGTCTCTTTTAATCCTTTGTATTTCTGCATTGTCTGTTGTAACCTCTTCTTTTTCATTTCTAATTTTGTTGATTTGATTCTTCTCTTTTTCTTGAGGAGTCTGACTGAAGGTTTGTCAATTTTGTTTATCTTCTCAAAGAACCAGCTTTTAGTTTTATTAATCTTTACTATTGTTTCTTTCATTTCTTTTTCATTTGTTTATGCTCTGATCTTTATTATTTCTTTCCTTCTAATTTTGGGCTTTTTTTGTTCTTCTTTTTCCATTTGTTTTAGGTGTAAAGTTAGGTTGTCTATTCGATGTTTTTCTTGTTTCTTGAGGTAGGATTGTATTGCTATAAACTTCCCTCTTAGAACTGCTTTTGCTACATCCCATAGGTTTTGAGTTGTCGTGTTTTCATTGTCATTTGTTTCTAGAAATTTTTTGATTTCTTCAGTAACCTGTTGGTTATTTAGAAACATGTTGTTTAATCTCCATGTGTTTGTGTTTTTTACAGTTTTTTTTTCTTGTAATTGGTATCTAGTCTCATAGTGTTGTGGTCAGAGAAGATGCCTGATGCAATTTTAATTTTCTTAAATTTACTGAGATTTGATTGGTGACCCAAGATGTGGTCTGTCCTGGAGAATGTTCCATGTGCACTTGAAAAGAAGGTGTATTCTTCTGCATTTGGATGGAGTGTCCTGAAGATATCAATAAGATCCATCTCATCTAATGTATCACTTAAGATTTATGTTTCCTTATTAACTTTCTGTTTTGATGATCTGTCCATTGGTGTGAGTGGGGTGTTAAAGTCTCCTACTATTATTGTGTAACTGTCAATTTCTCCTTTTATGTCTTATATATTGAGGTGCTCCTACTTTGGGTGCATAGATGTTTACAATTGTTATGTCTTCCTCTTGGACTGATCCCTTGATCATTATGTAGTGTCCTTACTTATCTCTTGTATCTTCTTTATTTTAAGGTCTATTTTGTCTGATATGAGGATTGCTACTCAAGCTTTATTTTGCTTCCTATTTGCATGGAATGTATTTTTCCATCCTCACTTTCAGTCTACATGTCTTTAGGTCGGAAGTGGGTTTCTTGTAGATAGCATATATATGGGTCTTGTTTTTGTATCCATTCAGCCAGTCTGTACCTTTTGGTTGGAGCATTTAATCCATTTACATTTAAAGTAATTATTGATATATATGTTCCTATTGCCATTTTCTTAATTGTTTGGGGTTGATTTTGTAGATCTTTTTTCTTCTCTTGTATTTCTTGACTATAGAAGTCCCTTTAACATTTGTTGTAAAACTGGTTTGGTGATACTGAATTCTCTTGACTTTTGCTTGTCTGAAAAGCTTTTGATTTCTCCATCGATTTGAATGAGATCCTTGCCGAGTACAATAATCTTGGTTGTAGATTTTTCCCTTGCAGTACTTTAAATATATCCTGCCATTCCCTTCAGACCTGAAGAGTTTCTGCTGAAAGATCAGCTGTTAAGTGTATGGGGTTTCTCTTGTATGTTACTTGTTGCTTTTCCCTTGTGGCTTTTAATATTCTTTCTTTTAGTCTTTGTTAGTTTGATTATTATGTGTCTTGGCATGTTTCTCCTTGGGTTTATCCTGTATGGAACTCTTTATGCCTCTTGGACTTGATTGACTATTTCCTTTTCCATGTTGGGGAAATTTTCAACTATAATCTCTTCAAAAATTTTCTCACATCCTTTCTTTTTCTCTTCTTTTTCTTGGACCCCTATAATTGGAACATTGCTGTGTTTGATACTGTCCCAGAGGTCTCTGAGACTATCCTCAGTTCTTTTCATTCTTTTTACTTTAATCTGCTCTTCAGAAGCTATTTCCACCATTTTATCTTCCACCTCACTGATTTGTTCTTTTGCCTCAGATATTCTGCTATTCCTTCTAGAGTAATTTCATTTCAGTAATTGTGTTGTTTGTCTCTGTATGTTTATTCTTTAATTCTTCTAAGTCTTTGTTAATTGATTCTTGCATTTTCTCCATTCTGTTTTCAAGGTTTTTGATCATCTTTATTATAATTATTCTGAATTCTTTTTCAGGTAGTTTGCCTATTTCCTCTTCATTTATTTGGACTTCTGTGTTTCTAGTTTGTTCCTTCATTTATGTAGTATTTCTCTGCATTTTCTTTTTTTTTTTTTAACTTACTGTGTTTGAGGTCTCCTTTTCCCAGGCTTCAAAGTTAAATTCTCTCCTCCTTTTGGTTTCTGCCCTCCTAAGGTGGTCCAGTGGTTTGTGTAAGCTTAGTATACGGTGAGATTTGTGCTGAGTTTTGTTTGTTTGTTTGTTCATTTTTCCTCTGATGGGCAAGGCTGAGTAAGGTGGTAATCCTGTCTACTGATGATTGGGTTTGTATTTTTGTTTTGTTTGTTGTTTAGATGAGGCGTCTTGCACAGGTGCTACTGGTGGTTGGATGATGCCAGGTCTTGTATTCAAGTGGTTTCCTTTGTGTGAGTTCTCGCTATTTGATACTCTCTAGGGTTAGACCCTGATGCTGGGAGGGATTGGGGGCAGGAGGAGAAGGGGACGACAGAGGATGAGATGGCTGGATGGCATCACCGACTCGATGGGCATGAGTTTGAGTAAACTCCGGGAGTTTGTGTTGGACAGGGAGGCCTGGCGTGCTACAATTCATGGGGTCGCAAAGAGTCGGACACGACTGAGTGACTGAACTGAAATGAACTGAACTGAACTGACGGTTAGTTCTCTGGTAGTCTAGGGTCTTGGAGTCACTGCTCCCACCCCAAAGGCTCAGAGCTTGATCTCTGGTCAGGAATGACGATTCCACAAGTGGTTTGTTATGGCACTAAGTGAGGTGAAAACAAATACCCAAAAACGAGAAACCGAAGGTGAGCCCCGGACAAATGGCGGTTACAGAATCAGGCAGATAATAATTCAAATAGTGGGATATACTTATATACCCATTAGCAAAGTCAAAACAGCCCAACAAAAATAAAGTACAATAGATTGATCCAGCAAACAAAGAAACCAAAAATTGTATCTACCAGTTAAGAACAAAACTAAAGCACAAACTGGAAAACAAAACTAAAGCAAGGTGCCAAGTGGGGAATAAAGCAATGAAAACAAAACTAACCAATATGTTGAGAGGAAAGGAAAGAAAGAAAAAAGAAGATATATGCAAAGTTAAATAGAGGTGGATAAAGAAGATTTGTATATATTAAAGATTAACTGCAAGGGGAAAAGAACAGTAGGAAAAGCAAACAAAGGAATAAATGTAGAAAAAATAATAATAGATTTTTAAAAATAATTAAAGAGAAAAGAAAAAGAAAAAAAAGAAAACTCCACAGAACTGCAAAAGCCCAACATGGAGGCAGAGGTTTATAACAACAATGAAAAGTGTGACTGAAAAAAAAAACTCAAAAGCTTAATTAGATTTCATAGTGCCAATAAAATCAACATCTGCAATGGGTTGGGGGGTAGGAAAAAAACAAAAGAAAAAAAATTCCAAAAGACTCTATAGAACAAGTCAAAACATAAGAATAATAAATGTTTTTCTTGAGCCACTGCTGTCAGAGTCCTTTCCCTCACTGGGAGTCACAGTTACCTCACCTCCCTAGGATGCTCTCCAACACTGTGCTGATTTCTAGACCTGCTGTGGGGGCAGCTCAGATTCTAATCTGGTCCTACTCCTTTGTGTTCTTGCCTCCAATATCCATGGCTATCAGAACTAGTGCGTTTTCTTTTGTGGGAGCTCTCAATGTCCTTTTACATATTCCACAGACACAGAGCTGCCTAGTTGATCATGTGGATTTAATCTGCAGCTTGTACAGCTGGTGGGAAGGTTTGGGGTCTTCTTCCTTAGCCACACTTCCCCTGGGTTTCAACTGTGGTTTTATTTCCACCTCTGCATGTGGGTCATCCACTGGGGTTTGCTCCTGAGGCTGCCCTGGAGGACTGCTCCAGCAGACTGGGTCTGCTCCAGTGAGGGCCAGATGTGGAGGTGGTGCAGCTGCTTGGGTCGCAGGGGTTCTGGCAGCACCAGGTCCTCAGGGGAGTTGGCAGCTAGGGCAGCAGTAAATATAGTGCTCTAGAAGGATATGGCAATCAGTATGGGCCAATATACTCCAGTATTCTTGCCTGGAGAACCCCCTGACAGAGAAGCCTGGCAGGCCACAGTCTACAGGATTGCAAAGTTGGACATGACTGAAGTGACCCTGTGTGCATAGATGCAAGAAACTTTTTTGCCTGTGGCAGCTCTGCCCCAATGAGGGTTGAACATGAAGATGGTGCAGCTGCTTGGACTGTGGGGACCCTGGCAGTGCTAGGTGTGCAGGGACACGGACTGCCTCTGCTGCAGGAGCTATGGCCCTATCAGAGTCTCTTTTCAAGCCTCTGGTAGCTGGCAATCAGAAGGCCTCTTTGGCCAGTCTTTCTCTGTAGCTGCGCCCGTTCAGGCACTTAGAGGGCGCCCCTGCTTGGGGTCCTCTGTTGTTCCATGCATCAGGCACATAGAGAGGCCACCATGGCTGGGGTCCTACTTTGTAGATTGGCATGTCTGGCACTTAAAGGGGCACCCTAGGTGGGGTCCTACTCTGTAGTTCAGTGCATCAGGTGTTTGACGGCCAGTCTGTCTATTCAGCTGCAAATGCTGGGGTGTGGGGAGAGAGAGGTCATGGTGATGGCTCCACCCCCTATGCATGACTCAGCAGTATCACCTTGCTTCCATGGCTGCCTGGCTTTCCTCCACAGGCATCTCCCACCACAATCTCTTCCCTCACGTCCCCTCGATCCGTCTCTCCACCATCAACAGCAGCCCTCACCCTGGGATTGCTCCACAGTCCCTAAGCTCCAACTCCCAGCTGCTGTGCCTTCTAGGGGACCTGCATCCCTGCCTGGGGATATGTATGCCTGCAGCAAGGACTGTCTGATTCTCATTCCATTTAGGCTGCCATGGATTAGCTGATTCACTCTCAGCTGTAAATGTTTCTCCTCTGACTCAGACAATTGCCCTGATGTAGGGATCAGACCCCTGCTTTGGTTTCCCCACACACTGAGGGCACGTCCAGTCCTGCTAACACACCTGCTTTCCCCCCTAGTTCCTTCATCCTACCGAGTTTTGCATGGTTCTATATATTCTTTTCTACTAGTTAGGTACTCCTATCTGCTGTCAGCTGGTCTGTATGCACTTTTGTGTCTGAAGGTATATTCCTGATGTATCCGTGGAGAGAGATGTACTCCATGTCCACCTACTGCTCCGCCATCTTGTTCCTCTTCTGATACTTACTTTTTATTTGCCACACTAGACGGCTTGCGGGATCTTGGAACCCGCAAGATCCCTGACCAGGGACTGAACCCAGGCCCTCGGCAGTGAAAGCCCTGAGTCCTAACCACTGAGCCTGCCAGGGAATTCCCCTCCAATGAACTTTAGGGTGGCACTCTCCAACAGAAATGTCACGTGAGCCACCAATGTAATGTTAAAATTTCTAGTAGCCACACAGAAAAGGAATTGATGAAATTGATTTAGGTGCTGTAAGATCCCCTGGAGGAGGAAATGGCAACCCACTCCAGTATTCTTGTCTGGATAATCCCATGGACAGAGGAACCTGGCAGGCTACAGTTCATGGGGATCACAAAGAGTTGAATACAACTGAGCGACTGAGCACACACACATATATACACACACATTTTTTGGCCACACCACACACGTGTGGGTTCCTAATTCCCCCACCAAAGATTGAGCCCACAACCCCCACCCCCCAGCATGGAAAGGCAGTCTTAACCACTGGTCCACCAGGGAAGTCTCTATGTGCTATATTTAATATTATCAGGTATGTCCTAAAGAGTATCATTCCAACATTCAGTGTTTTAAAATATGAACATGGTATTGTATGTTCTGTTATTTCATATCAGACTCCCATGCCCAGTGTGGGTTTTATACCCACAACATGTCTCAGTTTCAGATGGACCACCCTGTGGCCAGTGATTTCCATACTGGACAGCACGGGTTCAGAGAGGGTCCACCTCCTACCCCCACACCAATGTTAGATGGCCTCTCATCCAACTGCAGAGTGAACTCAGAAATCTTGCAAAAGATACTGAATGGCAAATGGGATGTGTTTAACTGCTGGGCTCACTTGCAAGACTCTGACACATGAAGGTGTGGAGGGGTTAAATCAGTTAATGGTGAAGGAAAGAAAAAAAAACAAAAAACCAAACAGATACAGCAGTATTACAGGCTGGATTGCATTCACCTCCATCCTGACACCCAAGCCCTCAGGATGGGAGTATATTCAGGGATGGGAGTCTTTATGGACAGAGGTCTGCAAGTTAAGATGTGATCACTGAGTGGACAGTGATCCAGTATGACAAGTATTTTTCTAAGGGAAAATCTGGATACAGATGCAGGGAGAAAACGGCCGTCTACAACCAAAGGGACTTGCCAGGTGGCGTTAGTGGTAAAGAACCTGCCTGCCAATGCAGGATACATAAGAGATGCGGGTTCGATCCCTGGGTCAGGAAGATCCCCTGGAGGAGGGCTTGGCAACCCACTCCAGTATTCTTGCCTGGAGAATTCCCATGGACAGAGGAGCCTGGCGGGCTACAGTCCTTAGGGTCGCAAAGAGTCAGACACGACTGAAGCGACATAGCACGCACACAACAAACCAAGGAGAGGGGCTTCGGAAGGAACCAACGGAGCCAACCAGCCTTGACTCTGGGGAGACTTCCAGCATCCGGGACCCTGAGGAAAGAGATTCTAGATGTTTAAGCCCCGGGCCTGCTTAGCTGTCTTCTGTGGCAGTCCCAGGAAACCAGCGCAGGGCGTCAGAGCAGGAGGATTTGACCCCGAGAGAATTATCCGTAGGCCCCGGGACAACGGACGATGTGTCCCCTCTGCCCACACCGTGCGTCGTGCTGGGTTTCTGAAGCTACCTGTGACTCCTGGCATCGCGGAGGCTCCTTGTGAGAAAGACTTGGGGGAAAGGGAGGGTGCAGAGGGGTAGTGGGAGGAGCTCAAGTCTCTGTCACTCACCTCCCTGGTGGTCCACTGGTTTCGAATCCACCTTGCAATGCCAAGGACACAGGTTCAACCCCTTGTCCCCGAAGATCCCACTTGCTGCCAAGCAACGAAGCCCGTCCCCCGCCCCCGCCCCGCGACTGCTGAGCCCACACTCTAGAGCCCATGCTCTGCAGCAAGAGAAGCCCGAGCATGGTGACTAGGAAAACCCTCGGCACCAGCAAAGATCCAGTGCGGCCCAAAAAATGAGGTCTCCATGCCACTGCTGGGATGGGCCGTCACACCTCATTCCTTGGGTTTCCGGCCAGTAGAACTCCCCCCACCTACCCCCCCGCAATAGTTTCTGACAAAAGGCCTTCTCCAGAGAGGCCACCAGGAAACATTTGGGCATTTCACATTTGGGCTCTGGTTTCAGATGCGAAGTCTGCTTGGCTCCCTCTGCCAGGCAAGTGGAAAAGGCAGGAAGAACAGCTAACAGAAGTGACAGCCAGGCAGGAAGGAGTTGGCGTGCCCCACTGGGACCCGGGTGGAGGGTGAGTGGAGGGCAGACACCGTCCAGAGCCCACGGCAGCCAAGCGTGTGTGCACATGTGGAGACCACCTGTGTTGGACTCATCTGAGGCCCAGCCAGCCAAGCCAGTCTCACCATCAGGGCAGCCAGGGCCCGCTCCGCCAAAGAAGTCACTGGTAGAAGCTGTTGATCTGCCTTTTGTATTTCTGGTGGACGAAGTGTCGTTTAATCTTTGTTGTCGGGCCTGCCCAGAAAGGAGAAACCGGTTCAGATGTGGGGGTGAAATAAGAGTCCGTGTACCCTGGGCGTGACCAGGCAGCAGGATCTCGTGGCTGGGGCTGGGCTGGGCTGGTGGCAGGCCATGCCCTCATCTTCCTGGGGCACCGCCATTACCATTTTCGGGGATGGCAAAGGAGACCGCCTGGCTTCACACACACACAGCTCCCTTTCTGGGAATAAAATCTCAACTCCTTAGCACAGCTGAACATGACCTCTCTCCACCCTGACTTCACAGGCCTCCCAGTTGTTCCCACGACTCTCCAGACACCGTCCTGCCTGAGGGCCTCTGTACCTGCTGCCCCCTCAGCCAGGAATATTATTCCCCTTCGATTGTTTGCCCAAAAGGCTCCTCTCATCCTCTGAGTGTTACCCTAAGGACCACTTCCTGAGAGCAGCCTTCCCAGATCCTTCTGGCCAAAGCAGCTTGCTGTCCAACCCCTGATCCGTCATCCCTCTAGTCCACTGTCACACCTGCTACACTGCCCAGTCTTCTCGCCTCCCTGACACATCAGAGTCTGAAACTACTGGGGGTGGGGTCAGGGGGAGGTGGACACCGTCCCCCTCTGTGTGGCCCCCCTCGGTCGGCAGCTGGTCCCACAGACCCTCTGATTCCCAGAATAAGACATGTCTCCTCAGCGCCCACAGGGCCCTGGACTGTACTACCAGGGGACCAGCCTCCAGGTGTCAAAGCTCTCCAGGCCACTCACCTAGCTCTCCGCCACTGATGGAAAAGTCCTTCTCCAAGATGACCCACTTCTGAATCTTCTGTGCGTTGGAGATAGCTTTTTGGTTGACAGCATTGATGCCTTTCTGGATGGCCGTGTGGACCATGGGGTCTTGCAGGCCCAAGATCTCAGACACCGTGGTCGCCTGGCTGCCCACCTCCCGGCAGAACTTGATCGCCTCCCAGTTCAGCGTGTCCAGTGGCTCTCCGGTCATTCTGTCAACCTCGCACTGCCCCCGCGACACCCCTGTCACAACCCCTAGTATCCAGCCCCAAGGACCAAGATGCGGCTTCCCACCTGCTGGAAAACCCACATTACCTTCAGCGTCAGGAGGATGCTCAGGAACTTGGCCTTGTCGCCCACCAACATGGCGTTACTAATGATGGGGATCGTCTCCTTAACCAGGTTCTCGATGGGAATGGGGGCCACGTTCTCGCCACTGGCTGTGATGATGATTTCTGAAACGAGGCATGACTGGGGGTGGGTTCAACCAGGACAGCCCAGGAGCCCTGTGCCTTTGCAGATCAGAGGGGCCCAGGTGTCGGCAGCAACAACCACTCCCCTGAAAAACCCCGGAAGCAGAGGGGCACCCCTGCCCTTGGCCAGGACACTCTCCATGTCCTTCTCCAAGCCCCAATCACTCTGCCCTTCCTCCCCCATCTTCTTCAGATTCCCATCAAGCATCCACATCCTGTCCACTTGGACAGCATCTTATCAACTCCTGGCCTGTTTCTTGGTCCCCCGTACCCTGAACCAGGCCCTCTGGTATGCCCTTGCCTGGAAAATAGTCAAGCACTTCTGACCATGCCCTGTCTCTCTGTCTCCTGCTGTTCCCATTGTCTGGCAACTCTCAAAGACCCCAAGTCCAGGCCCCTCACGGGGGTGTGTGGTGCCTTCCTAGTTTTGGCAGGCTCTTAAAGGGTCGTGTCACTGTCTCCCCCTGCCTGACACCCTTCAGGAGCTCCTCCTCCCGCCCCAGACACAGTCTTCACTTGTTCCTCCATCCTGGGACACCTGCTGCTTCCTGTCCCACCCCCCCAGACTCTCTCCATTCCATCCTGTGATCTTGCAGTCACCTCCCCTGAGGTCCTTATAGCACTAGGAATGATCTGTTTGAGCCCATGATGGACATCTGTGATATCATCTGCCCAGTGACTCCTCCATCCTTCGAGTTTCTTTAGAGAACTACCCTCCATCTCTGTGTGATCTGGGGAGGGGGTGGGCTGCTGGGGTAAGCCTGTGACCACATCAGACCAGTCAGTGTATTTCATCCTCTACAGTGATTCATTCTGAGATGGGATACTGACCCAAGAAGATCCAGTGGGAATCAGGCATAAAACTTGCTGACGCTGTTGGGAATAGTACACTCTTTCCTCAACCTTTGGGTGTTACAATGAGCCTAGACTGTTGGCAGCCATCTTGTCATCAAGTTGGAAAAGCCTCCTCAAGAATGGCATCAGGGAGCTCCCTAGTGGTCCAGATGTTAAGAATCTAGCTTCCAATGCAGGGGATGTGGGTTCAATCCCTGGTCAGGGAACTAAGATCCCAACTAAGCCCTTGAGCCACAACTACTGAGGCCACATGACAAAGAGCCTGCATGCTGCAACTGAGACCAGACGTAGACACATAAATAAATGAATAAACAGACAAGGATGGCATAAATACAGAGGGGGACTTGGTCACAGAAGGATAAAGAGATTCTTGTGATGTCATTTTGGCACCTGGATCCAGCCATGCCTGAGGCATGCACTTTTGGACTTTCCAGTTTTGAGCCAGCAGCTTTACTTTTCCACACAAACCTGCTTAAGAAGGGTTTTCTGTTGCTTATCACAGAAATAATGGTAACATAGCCCTCTTACTGAACAGTTACAGCCTATGTCAGGCTCCATGCCAAATGCTCTACATGAGAGGTTGTGGGCTAAATTCCACAATGCTCCTTCTGCCTGTTTTTGTAAAGCCACGAGCTAAAAAGTTTTTACATTTCTAAATGGTTGGAAGGAAATCTAAAGAAGAGCAATATTTGTGATACATGAAAATCCTATGACATTTGTATTAGTGCATGGCCACGACCATAGGTCTGGACATCAACTGCGGCTGCTTTTGTCCCACCGCTGTCAGACACCCTGTGTCCTGCAAATCCCAAACATTTATCCATGGGCCCTTTAGGGCTTCCCTGGTGGCTCAGTGGTACAGAATCTGCCTGCCGATGCAGGAGATACAGGAGACATAGGTTCTGTCCCTGGCTCGGGAAGATCCCCTGGAGAAGGAAATGGCAACCCACTCCAGTATTCTTGCCTGGAGAACCCCATGGACAGAGGAGCTTGTCGGGCTACTGTCCACGGGGTCACAAAAGAGACACAAGTTAGTGACTAAAACAGCGACCGACTTTATGGGAAAAGTTGACTGATCCCTGTTCTGTATCATTTCATTTAATCATGATGACTCTGTAGTTACTGTTATCCGTAAATGACAGGGGAGGGAACAGAGGTTTGAGGCCCAGTGTAGGCTTCTTTTCTGGCTCCATCCTGCTGTGGGCCAGATGCTGGGCACAAGGACAGCGCTGGGCTGGACAGCGCACGGGCTGGGGTGTCCCTGTACATCCGTGTGAGCACCCATCCCCACGAAAGGTGGCAAGGCAGAGCCTTCAGTGTTCAAGGCCGGCCTGCTCGCTGGAGGCCCCTGGGAACCCAGCTCCAGTACCTTTGATGCGGCCGGTGATAAAGAGGAAGCCCTGATTGTCCAGGCGGCCCAGGTCCCCAGAGTGGAGCCAGCCCTCCTTGTCAATGGCCTCCATGGTCGCGTCTTCCTGCTCTAGGTACCCCATGAAGACATGCCGGCCCCAAAGGCAGATTTCCCCCACTCCATCCTTGCTCGGCTGGTACAGCATGTTCTTGCACCCTGCCACAATTTTGCCAGAACTGCGGGGGGACAGGAGGGGGGAAGACTGAGACTCGGGGGCAGGGGCCGAGGTCACCTGGTTCCTGACCCCTGGCTCAGCTGGCCTGGGCTGGAGCTGCTGCTGCATCCTCCCCAGAACCCAGTGGGTGCTTGTGACTATTGGCTGAGTGGAGAGAGGGCTGGTCCCACCAAGGGAGTCAAATTCCCAAAAACCTGGTGAACTGGGCTTCCCTGGTGGCTCAGTGGTAAAGAATCTGCCTGTGATGCAGGAGACAGCGAGTTTGATCCCTGGGTCAGGAAGATCCCTGGAAAAGGAAATGGCAACCCACTCCAGTATTTTTCCCTGGGAAATCCCATGGACAGAGGAGCCTGTTGGGCTACAGTCCACGGGGTCGCAAAGAGTCAGACATAACTGAGTGACACTTTCACTGGTGAACTGGGAAGCCCAGTGGAGTTGTAAGTTGGTTTTATCTTCACATACATGGCAGAAAGACTTCCCAGCAATGGGATTCCCCAGTGTCTGAGTGGTTGGTACTCCATGTTTTCCCTGCTAAGGGTCAGGGTTCCATCCCTGATCGGGGAACTAAGATCCCACAAGCCACACAGAGTGGAAAAAAAAAAAGAAAGAAAGAAAAGAAAACCAACCAACCTGAGCAACAAAACACTTTCTATAAAACAGGAACGTTGCCTTGAATGCAGTGACCAGGACAGCTGATTTTAGGTAAAATGACCAGCCAAAGTCTCTTTAAAGTTACTTCCACAGGACAGAGAGCACTAGTGAAATCTGGATTTTCATTAATGATAACCACTTGGGAGGGTGGTCTTAGGATGGAGAGAAGGAAGTATTTTCTTTCTGCCTGGCTGAGATCTCTTCTATTGGCAGTTAGAAGGGTCGGTGGTTTTAGGGTGAAGTGTAGAAACTCCCATAGTCAGCAAGTGGAAAAAGAAGGCAGGCCTGAGATGCTTAAAATGTATATGAATGCATAAATGTGGACTCTGGAAAAAGGATACAGGTGAACAGACATAGAGAACAAGTGTATTGACCCCACTGGGGGAAAGGCAGGGTGGGATAAATTGGGAGATTGGGATTGACATGTATAGACTACAATGTATAAGATAGATAACTAATGAGAATCTACTGTATAGTACAGGGAACTCTACTCAATGTTCTGTGGTGACCTAAATGGGAAGGAAATCCAAAAAAGAGCAGACACACACACACACACACACACACACACACACATGACCAAGAACTTCCAGATGTACAAGCTGGGTTTAGAAAAGGCAGAGGAACCAGAGATCAAATTGCCACCATCTGTTGGATCATAGAAAAAGCAACAGCATGCCAGAAAAATGTCTACTTTGCTTCATTGACTACGCAAAAGCCTCTGACTGTGTGGATCACAACAAACTGGAACATAGTTAAAGAGATGGGAATAACAGACCACCTTACCTGTCTCCTGAGAAAACTGTATGTGGGTCAAGAAGCAACAGGACATGGAACAACTGACTGGCTAAGAATTGGGAAAGGAATATGACAAGGCTGTATATTGTTACTCTGCTTATTTAACATATATGCAGAGTACATCATGCAAAATGCCAGGCTGGAGGAATCACAAGCTGGAATCAAGACTGCCAGAAGAAATGTCAACAACCTCCCATATGTAGATGATACCACTCTCATGGCAGAAAGTAAAGAGGAACTAAGGAGCCTCTTGATGAGGGTGAATGTTGGCCTAAACTCAACATTCAAAAAACTAAGATCATGACATCTGATCCCATCACTTCATGGCAAATAGAAGGGGAAAAAGTGTAAGTGGAAATAGTGGCAGATTTTATGTTCTTGGGCTCCAAAATCACTGCAGCCATGAAATTAAAAGATGCTTGCTCCTTGGGAGGAAAGCTATGACAAACCTAGACATCACATTAAAGAGCAGAGACATCGCATTAAAGAGCAGAGACATCACTCTGCCAACAAAGGTTCATATAGTCAAAGCTGTGGTTTTCCTAAAGAATGTCGACATTCTAGGAATCAGTGAACTAAGATGGACTGGAATGGGTGAATTTAACTCACGTGACCATTATATCAACTACTGTGGGCAGGAATCCCTTAGAAGAAATGGAGTAGCCATCATAGTCTACAAAAGAGTCTGAAATGCAGTACTTGGATGCAATCTCAAAAATGACAAAATGATCTTTGTCCGTTTCCAAGACAAACCATTCAATATCATGGTAATCCAAGGCTATGCTGCAACCAGTAATGCTGAAGAAGCTGAAGTTGAATGGTTCTATGAAGACCTACAAGACCTTTTAGGACTAACACCCAAAAAAGATGTCCTTTTCATTTTAGGGGACTGGAATGCAAAAGTAGGACGTCAAGAAATACCTGGAGCAACAGGCAAACTTGGCCTTGGAGTACAGAATGACGCAGGGCAATAGCTAATAGAGTTTTGCCAAGAGAACACACTGGTCATAGCAAACACCCTCTTCCAACAACACAAGAGAAGACTCTACACATGGACATCACCAGATGGTAAACACTGAAATCAGACTGATTATATTCTTTGCAGCCAAAGATGGAGAAGCTCTATACAGTCAGCAAAAACAAGACCAGGAGCTGACTGTGGATCAGATCATGAACTCCTTATTGCCAAATTCAGACTTAAATTGAAGAAAGTGGGGAAAACCACTAGACCATTCAGGTATGACCTAAATCAAATCCCTTATGATTATACAGTGGAGGTTATGGAATTCCAGTTGAGCTATTTCAAATCCTAAAAGATGATACTGTGAAATTGCTGCACTCAATATGTCAGCAAATTTGTAAAACTCAGCAGTGGCCACAGGACTGGAAAAGGTCAGTTTTCATTCCAATCCCAAAGAAAGGCAATGCCAAAGAATGCTCAAGCTACCACACAATTGCACTCATCTCGCACACTAGTAAAGTAATGCTTAAAATTCTCCAAGCCAGGCTTCAGCAATACATGAACGTGAACTTCCAGATGTTCAAGCTGGTTTTAGAAAAGGCAGAGGAACCAGAGATCAAATTGCCAACATCTGCTGGATCACCGAAAAAGCAAGAGAGTTCCAGAAAAACTTCTATTTCTGCTTTATTGACTATGCCAAAGCCTTTGTCTGTGTGGATCACAATAAACTGTGGAAATTTGTGAAAGAGATGTGAATACCAGACCACCTGACCTGCCTCTTGAGAAACCTGTATGCAGATCAGGAAGCAACAGTTAGAACTGGACATGGAACAACAGACTGGTTCCAAATAGGAAAAGGAGTATGTCAAGGCTGTATATTGTCACCCTGCTTATTTAACTTGTATGCAGAGTACATCATGAGAAACACTGGGCTGGAGGAAGCCCAAGCTGGAATCAAGATTGCTGGGAGAAATATCAATAACCTCAGATATGCAGATGATACCACACCTATGGCAGAAAGTGAAGAAGAACTAAAGAGCCTCTTGATGAAATTGAAAGAGGAGAGTGAAAAAGTTGGCTTAAAGCTCAACATTCAGAAAACTAAGATCATGGCATCCGGTCCCATCATTTCATGGCAAATAGATGGGGAAACAGTGTCAGGCTTTATTTTGGGGGGCTCCAAAATTACTGCAGATGGTGATTGCAGCCATGAAATTAAAAGATGCTTACTCCTTGGAAGGAAAGTTATGACCAACCTAGATAGCATATTAAAAATCAGAGACATTACTTTGTCAACAAAGGTCCATCTAGTCAAGGCTATGGTTTTTCCAGTGGTCATATATGGATGTGAGAGTTGGACTATAAAGAAAGCTGAGTGCTGAAGAATTGATGCTTTTGAACTGTGGTGTTGGAGAAGACTCTTGAGAGTCCCTTTGACTGCAAGGAGATCCAACCAGTCCATCCTAAAGGAGATCAGTCCTGGGTGTTCATTGGAAGGACTGATGTTAAAGGTGAAACTCCAATATTTTGGCCACCTGATGCAAAGAGCCGACTCATTGGAAAAGACTCTGATGCTGGGAAAGATTGAGGGCAGGAGGAGAAGGGGACGACAGAGGATGAGATGGTTGGATGGTATCACTGACTCAATGGATGTGAGTTTGAGCAAACTCTGGGAGATGGTAAAGGACAGGGAAGCCTCGCGTGCTGCAGTCCATGGAGTCACAAAGACTTGGACACAACATAGTGACTGAACAACAGATAACTGATTCACTTTGCTATACAGCAGAAAATAACTTTGTAAAGCAACTATACTCCAATAAAAGTTTTTTTTAAATGTACAAAGAAGCTTTTTATGACTTACTGATTAAAAACTTTCCTAGGTGTGTAGGAAAACTCAGAAGCTATACAAGTTTGATGGGTTCATCCAAGGAAAACTAAAAATATTCTACACAGGAAAAAAATAAGAAAAAAACCACCTGTTTAACGAAGGACTACCCTTTGGTTTGGGGAAAAAAAACAAAGCTCAAGTGGACATTTGGGTTTTACACAAAACAGACCCAGGTACAGTTATGGGCTGGAAGGGGTGGATACTGATGTACAGAGTAAAGAAAGAAGCAAGAGATGGTTTTGCCAGATTGGGAAGATCAGACTTCGATTTCACTAAGTTCAAAGGCGAGTGGAACCTGGCCAAACACGAGAGGAGACCTGACCTTGCAGTATGGTGCTGTTGGTAGGGGACATGGGGGCAGGGAAGGATGACCAGGAGGTCCTGTGAAGGAACATGGCTCCCAGACTCCAAGTGGAACTCGCCTTTGGTGTTTTACTGTGTCAGTGTAACTGGGCTCCATCCTGTAGTCCAAGCTGAGCTAAACGGGAGAAAGCCAGAGGGGCCCGGGGACATGGACAAAGCACCTTGGAGATGAAGGGTCCCTGGGTCTCAGGAGGTCAACCTGGGGTGGGACATCTGGAGGCAGAGCTCTCAGTGACAGATAGGGAGGGTACATACATAGAATGTTTGGGAGACCTCCCTCTTTGTCCGCGGGCTCTCGGACAAACTGGGGCTTCCCACAGTCATGAAGATTTGGAGCCTGGAGGCTGGAGACACCAAGTCAGGATTCATCGTAGCCCAGAAACCCTCCCACCTCCATCCCCTTTGACCCAGCGTTGCCAGAGGGCCAGGTGTCTGCCCAGGAGACCAGTACCTTAGAACCTTGTAGTTTCCCGGGGTGGATATGGAGTGGGGTCCTGAGCTCTCACTCATACCATACCCCTCGCCTATTGGTATGTCCAGGCTTAAAAAGAACTCAGAAGTTTCCTTGTTGAGGGGTGCGGCCCCGCTGATAAAAATGCGGCAGTGATCCAGGCCAAGGGAGTTCTTGATTTTGGTGAACACGAGTGCCTTTGCCATGCGGTAGCTCATGGGAGGGTCATGTTCCCTGTGAACATGGATGCCAAGGAAGGTTCTGTAGCCACAGAGCCACACAGGGGCTGGGGGATGGGACCCAGCTGGAGAAGGCTGAGCCCATTCACCCACCACCCTCCATGCCTGGCCCCAGCGTCCCGCCACTTACCCTAGCATCCTTTTCAAGTTGACCTTGAAGCCAATATTCCTTGCCCACAGAAACACCTTTCTCCTCAAGCTTGAAGACTTGGCAACAGTCTCCTTTATCTTCTCATGCATCTTTTCCCAAATTCGGGGTACCCCCAGGAAGGCAGTAGGCTTTACCTCTTGCAAGGTGTTGACCAAGGTGCCCTGCTGGGCACAGAGTTCGGTCAGCAACACCTGCACCCCAGGTGTCCATCTCTCCCCAGCCAGTGAGGGCAGCCCAGGAGAACTTTCTCTTGGCTTTCTAGACCAAGGTGAGCTCCTGACCCACGGGAGCCAGCCCATTGACTAGCCAGTGGCCAATCAGTTTAATCCGTTCTCCCTGGGGACATAGTGGAGCATACAGACTGGTAGAATATTTTTGGAAGGCAGTGTGACAGTGCTGTTAACATTTTAAATACAGCTAGGCTGTATTCTGTGGGTGATAGAACTCAGCTGGACGAAAGACTCCAATTCACAGAGAAACACGTGTGAGATGATCTTAGTGCATCGTTTTGTAATAAAATGAAAACAGGCTATGTAGCCAGTGTGGGGGGGGATCAGCTGAAGAAACTGTGGCCCAAGCATGAAGTGGAGTATCATGAAAGATTCTCCCTCAAATTGATCTACAGGTTCAATGTCATCACTATAAAAAATAGGCAAGCTATTTCATACCAACTGACAAGCTGCATGGAAATGCAGAGGACCTAGAATAACCAAAGCAATTCTGAAAAACAAAATCCGAGGACTTACTATCACTTGATTTTGAAACTGACTATAATGTAGGGTGATCAACTGTCCCGATTTGTCCAGAACTGGACGTGTTCCTGGAGTGTGCGGTTTTTACTTATGAGCCTGGGAGAGTCCTGGTAAACAGGGACAAGGTGATCTCATCACCAAAAAGCTGGGAAAATAAAGTCAGTGAGGTTTTGGTGTAAGGATAGACATAAAGATCAATGAAACAGAACTGAAAATCTAAAGATGAATCTTTACATTTATGATCAGTTGATGCTCAATAAAAGTGCCAAAGACAAACAAACAAGTAGAGAGTTAGATAACTTAGAGCGTTCTTGCCAGACACAAAAATTACCTCAAAATGGACCACAGACCTAAAAGTAAGAGCTATTAACAGATCTAAAAGCCCTCCAGAAGAATACATAGAAGAAAATCTCGGTGCCTTTAGATACAGTATGTGTAGGTCACTTAGTCGTATCCGACTCTTTGTGACCCCATGGGCTGTAGCCCACCAGGCTCCTCTGTCCATGGAATTCTCCAGGCAAGAATACTGGAGTGGGTTACCATTTCCTCCTCCAGCCCTTAGGGTAGGCAATGATTTTCTTACAAATTACACCAGAAGGATGAAAGGAAAAAAAAAATCAATAAATTGGAGAGTTAACACTCATTAGAGGTGAACATTTTCTGCTTTTCAAAAGATACTAGTAAGAAAATGAGAAGACAAGCCACAGAACTGGGAGCAAGTATTTGCAAAACCTATATTTGATAAACAATTTTTATGAAGAACACAACATTCAACAAGAAGATGTACAACTCAATTTTTACACAGGCAAAACTGTGAACAAGAGGTTTTTCTGAAGAAGATACACAGATGGCTAATAAGCACAAGAAAAGTGGCTCACCATCATTAATCATTTGAGAAATGCAAATTAATAGGAGAGAGACCACTTCACATTTGCTAGGATGGCAATAATAGTAAAAGCAAAAACAGTAAGAACAAGTGTTGGTGAGGATATGGAGGAACTGGACCTCTCATACACTTCTGGTGGGAATGTGAAATGGCACAGCCTCTTTGAAAACGCTCTGGCAGTTGCTTAAAATGTTAAGACAGGGAATTCCCTGGCAGTCCTGTGGTTAAGACTCCGTGCTCCCATTGCAGAGGGCACGAGTTTGATCCCTGGTCAGGGAACTAAGATCCTGTGTGCTGAAGCCAAAAACAAGTTAAAACGGCTTTGTACCTAGTGCTAAGTTGCTTCAGTCATGTCTGACTCTTTGCAACCAAATGGACCATGGCCCACGAGGCTCCTCTGTTTGTGGGATTCTCCAGGCAAGAATGCTGGAGTGGGTTACCATTTCCTTCTCCAGGGGATCTTCCTGAGCCCAGGGATCAAAGCCCCATCTACTGGGCCTCCTGCACTGCAGGCAGACTGTTTACCGCTGCGCCACTGGAGAAGCCCATTGATATTTCTGAAGATATGCACATTCCCAGTAAGTGGGGTAAACATGAAGACTCAAATAGCTTCACATCAGTTCAGGTCAGATTTTACTGCCAAAAATGTTTGGTTTATGGAGGGTTTTGGAGCTGGGAATACTGAATTAAAGAAAAAAAAAAAAACAACGCTACACACACACACACAAATTCTGCCTTTAGTACCATTGACATTTTAGTCTTAGGTAGTTCAGTATATACAGTCTGCAAAACCATGGACGCCATGACTTGGATAAAGACAAAAACAAAAAGAAGGTGGTTAACTGATTCACATGCTGCTAAAGGGGAGCATTAGCTGAGGACAGAGAAGGAACCCCTCACCCTACCAGATCTGGGCCTTGATGGAGCTATCCACCCTTCCAAGCTGCCCTTAACCTTGACCCCACACCCCCAGATCTGGGCCCTGATGGAGCCATCCACCCATTTGGGCTGCCCTCAACCTTGATACCTTGAGAGCGTCTGGTTCAGCAAAGTAGATGAAAGCCCCGACCTTTATGGGCACCCAGACGTCCATCATCTGAGCTGCAATGTGGCTGAGGGGAAGGTAGCTGACCACCACCTCCTGTTTTTCGGGGGCATAAGCCAGGTTGTAGACCCTCGCCACTGACCCCGCCGTCCACGTGATCTAGAACACAAGCTGAACTTAGGATCCAGTGAGATCTGACATACGTCCTCCTCCTCACCTGAGAGCTGTTTAAATGCAGTTCTTTAACAAATGCAAGGCACCTCCTAAACGCTAGGCACTGTTCCTGTTCTTTACAAACATTGAGTTGTTTAGTCATCTTAACACTGGGGTTGATAACTGTGATTCTCCCCCATCGTCGAGATGAGAAACCAGAGGCACAGAGAAGTTCACTAACTTGCCTGAGGCTGGGAGGAACTGTAAACTACAGTGGGCAGCTTTGGGGGATTACCAGACACCCCAGGATCCAAAAGGAGACCCTAGAGTCAGGATGTCAGAAAATCTGAAGAACTCACTAAGTGTCTCAGAAGCAATCTTGACTCTAGGGGCTTCCCTGGTGGTCCAGTGGTTAAGAATCCACTTTATAATGTGGAAGATCAGGTTCAATCCCTGGTCAGGGAACTAGGAGGCCACATGTCGCAGGACAGCTAAGCCTGTGCACCACAACTGCTGAGCCTACTTGCCACAGTGAAAGATCCCACATGCTATGACTAAGATGCAACACAGCCACACACACAAAAGAAATCCTGACTCCACCATTTACTAGCTGAGTGACCCTGGGCTATTTGCTTAAAATCCCTTGCAACCTCTATTTGCTCATCTGTAAAATGGGCACAGAATTTCCTTGTGCCAAAATAAAATTAAGAAACTAACACTGTCCAAAAAACAAAAAGACCACCCTTAATCCCATGGAATAAACACTCCAACAATTAGTGTATTAATGTTTTTCTTTAAAAATTAAAAAAAATTTTTTTCCATTTATTTTTATTAGTTGGAGGCGAATTGCTTTACAATATTGTAGTGGTTTTTGTCATACATTGACATGAATCAGCCATGGATTTACATGTATTCCCCATCCCGATCCCCCCTCCCACCTCCCTCTCCACCCGATTCCTCTGGGTCTTCCCAGTGCACCAGGCCTGAGCACTTGTCTCATGCATCCAGCCTGGGCTAGTGATCTGTTTCACCCTAGATAATATACATGTTTCGATGCTGTTCTCTCGAAACATCCCACCCTCGCCTTCTCCCACAGAGTCCAAAATTCTGTTCTGTACATCTGTGTTTCTTTTTCTGTTTTGCATATAGGGTTATCATTACTATGTTTCTAAATTCCATATATATGCGTTAGTATACTATATTGGTCTTTATCTTTCTGGCTTACTTCACTCTGTATGATGGGCTCCAGTTTCATCCATCTCATTAGAACTGATTCAAATGAATTCTTTTTAATGGCTGAGTAATATTCCATGGTGTATATGTACCACAGCTTCCTTATCCATTTGTCTGCTGATGGGCATCTAGGTTGCTTCCATGTCCTGGCAATTATAAACAGTGCTGCGATGAACATTGGGGTGCACGTGTCTCTTTCAGATCTGGTTTCCTCAGTGTGTATGCCCAGGAGTGGGATTGCTGGGTCATATGGCAGTTCTATTTCCAGTTTTTTAAGAAATCTCCACACTGTTCTCCATAGCGGCTGTACTAGTTTGCATTCCTACCAACAGTGTAAGAGGGTTCCCTTTTCTCCACACCCTCTCCAGCATTTATTGCTTGTAGACTTTTGGATAGCAGCCATCCTGACTGGCGTGTAATGGTACCTCATTGTAGTTTTGATTTGCATTTCTCTGATAATGAGTGATGTTGAGCATCTTTTCATGTGTTTGTTAGCCATCTGTATGTCTTCTTTGGAGAAATGTCTGTTTAGATCTTTGGACCATTTTTTGATTGGGTCATTTATTTTTCTGGAATTGAGCTGCAGGAGTTGCTTGTATATTTTTGAGATTAATCCTTTGTCTGTTGCTTCATTTGCTATTATTTTCTCCCAATCTGAGGGCTGTCTTTTCACCTTGCTTATAGTTTTCTTTGTTGTGCAAAAGCCTTTAAGTTTAATTAGGTCCCATTTGTTTATTTTTGCTTTTATTTCCAATATTCTGGGAGGTGGGTCATAGAGGATCCTGCTGTGATTAATGTCAGAGAGTGTTTTGCCTATGTTCTCCTCTAGGAGTTTTATAGTTTCTGGTCTTATTTAGATCTTTAATCCATTTTGAGTTTATTTTTGTGTATGGTGTTAGAAAGTGTTCTAGTTTCATTCTTTTACAAGTGGTTGACCAGTTTTCCCAGCACCACTTGTTAAAGAGGTTGTCTTTTTTCCATTGTATATTCTTGCCTCCTTTGTCAAAGATAAGGTGTCCATAGGTTCGTGGATTTATCTCTGGGCTTTCTATTCTGTTCCATTGATCTATATTTCTGTCTTTGTGCCAGTACCATACTGTCTTGATGACTGTGGCTTTGTAGTATAGTCTGAAGTCAGGCAGGTTGATTCCTCCAGTTCCATTCTTCTTTCTCAAGGTTACTTTGGCTATTCGAGGTTTTTTGTATTTCCATACAAATTGTGAAATTATTTGTTTTAGTTCTGTGAAAAATACCATTGGTAGCTTGACAGGGATTGCACTGAATCTATAGATTGCTTTGGATAGTATAGTCATTTTCACAATGTTGATTCTTCCAAGCCATGAACGCAGTATATATCTCCATCTGTTTGTGTCCTCTTTGATTTCTTTCATCAGTGTTTTATAGTTTTCTATGTATAGGTCTTTTGTTTCTTTAGGTAGATATACTCCTAAGTATTTTATTCTTTTTGTTGCAATGGTGAATGGTATTGTTTCCTTAATTTTTCTTTCTGTTTTCTCACTGTTAGTGTATAGGACTGCAAGGGATTTCTGTGTGTTAATTTTATATCCTGCAACTTTACTATATTCGTTGATTAGCTCTAGTAATTTTCTGGTAGAGTCTTTAGGGTTTTCTATGTAGAGGATCATGTCATCTGCAAACAGAGAGAGTTTCACTTCTTCTTTCCTTATCTGGATTCCTTTTACTTCTTTTTCTGCTCTGATTGCTGTGGCCAAAACTTCCAAAACTATGTTGAATAGTAGTGGTGAGAGTGGGCACCCTTGTCTTGTTCCTGATTTTAGGGGAAATGCTTTCAATTTTTCACCATTGAGGGTAATGCTTGCTGTGGGTTTGCCATATATAGCTTTTATTATGTTGAGGTATGTTCCTTCTATTCGTGCTTTCTGGAGAGTTTTAATAATAAATAGATGTTGAATTTTGTCAAAGGCTTTTTCTGCATCTATTGAGATAATCATATGGTTTTTATCTTTCAACTTGTTAATGTGTTTTTATCTTTCAATTTGTTAATGTGTTCAATTTGTTAAAAAACAAAAAGACCACCCTTAATCCCATGGAATAAACACCCCAACAATTAGTATATTAATGTTTTTCTTTAAAAATTTTAAAATTTTTATTGGAGTCTAGTTGCTTTATAAATCTATGAATGTTTTTCTTTCTCCAATGCATACTTTGATGTAAAGTTTTAGCATATCTATACTTTAGCAATCTATACTTCTTACTGGTATCATAAACTGGTCATTAATCCAGTCACATGGGCCTCTGCACTGTTATTCCAACAGGTCAGGCAAGGTCCTGCCTCAGGGCCTTTGCACTGGCCATTCCCACTGCCTGGGATCTGCTTCCTACAACTGTCTCCACAACTATTAATAACTCCTTGGATGCTGAATTGCTAGTTAAATTTCACCTTTTAGAGAAGCTGTCTCACCCCCAAACCGAAGCTTCCAGCATCTGTCTAATCCTCTAAGTACTACTTGCCACAATCTCAGTGGTTTTATTTATTTGTTCCCTGTCTGTCTTCCTGGGGGCCACGATTGGGTCTGTTCCATCCAAAGCCATTTACCAAGCACATAGTAGATGCCCAGTGAATTTTTGTTGAGAAGGGACATTTAAGAGCCAGGAAACATGTAAAACCATTGGCCTGTAGTGAGGCCTCAAGATTCATCCCTTGTCTTTCTCTGGGTCTCAGGATGGAGGGATTTTCCTTCTGCCACCATAAGCACTGTCTCTTCCAGAGGCCCAAGGAATCCAGCACCTATTTGTTGAGGTGCATGCAGACTGTGATTAAAGTCATTCAAACACCCGTAGGTTCAGAACCTAGCTCAAGCTCATTCTTTGCTCTCTGACCTTGCTCAAGTCATGGCCCCTCTCTGAGCCTGTTTCCCCATCTGTGAAAGGGGTTAATGACACATCTTACCTCATGGGGTTTCTGTGAGGGGTTATATCTGTTTCTCAGCATGGCCTAGTATTCTATAAAATGGGAGAAACTTTGAATTGTGGACATATGTTGAGAACCTGGGACTAGCTTTGACTTCTTGCTATAAAAATGATGACGATTATGATTATTTTAACTCATTATTGACTAGGGGATTCTTGCAGAAACGAATGCCTGCAGCTCGAGTTTTCATTTTGGCTGGCCAAAAATCAATTCCGTGATTTCACTAACACTGTTTTGCAGGTCATTACATTCAGCAGTTTACACTTGACACACTTATAAAGTCTTCTCTAGCATCATGAGTTTCACTTTCCATATCAGAATCAATCACTAAGGTTTTTTGTCTTCTTGTTGGTCTACATTCATATTGTCTGAATCAGAACTATGTTCTGAAGAACTGTCATATTCTGAGACACTTGTATGTACATTGCTCAGATGATCAGAGAAAGTATTCCCATAAAATTCACTGAAAAATTCATCTTTGCATAAAATTTCACCATGTGTCATCTTTGAAGATTTTACGGTAATAAATTAGCACTTATCACATACACAAAGTTGGAACAAAAACCTATCAGAGAAAAATGTGAATGATAATGACAGTTGTAAGTTGTCTAATGAAACTTTGATCAACTTTAAACTCTAACAACGCCACACTTGATGTTAATTGTATCAGTGTCTAAAAATGTACTGATACGTCTCCAGTCAATAATGGGCAACAAAAGATGTATTAAAATGTCTCCAGTCAATAATACATTAAAAGTCACGATAAGGGACACTGATGAGGCTGTGTGCCAGGTATCACTCTGAGCATTTATATCTGTGTGTAGGTTAAGTGAAGTGTTAGCCGCTGTCATGTCTGACTCTGCGACCCCATGGGCTGTAGCCCTCCAGGCTTCTCTGTCTATGGAATTCTCCAGGCAAGAATACTGGAGAGGGTAGCTAGTCCCTCTCTGGTTGGGATTCTCCCAACCCAGGGATTGAACCTGGGTCTCCTGTATTTCAGGCAGATTCTTTACTGTCTGAGCCACCCGGGAAAGCCCATGTGTAGGTTAAAGATAGCGGCAAATTCTCTGCCACCCCCTCCATTCAGAGCTAGAGTCTGTTTTCCTTTCCCCTCACAGGGCCGGTACAGTGGCTGGTTTTGACGTGCAGAGTGGGGCACCATGTGAACTTTTGACACTGAGCCCTAATAGACGTCAGCCTGTGCCTTTACATAGTGTGTGCTTGCCCTCGGGGGAGCCAGCACCACATTGAGAAATTCAACCACCTCACTACCTCCATGCCACAGAGAAACCCAAGCCCCAGGAGACATGTGAGTGAAGCTCCTTTTGGACCTGTTAACCCAGCCTGGGCACCAGCTGAGTGACCCCAGCTGACACTCTGTGGGGCAGAAAAGACACTGCTGAGCCCTGGTCCAAATCTGAGACCCAGAAATAACACACTGTTGCTGTTTCAAGTCACTCAGTTCTAGAGTGGTTTGTTACACAGCAGTAGCTAACTGACACAGTATGGGACATAATTTAACCTTCACAACAACTCTAAGAGGCATCAACTGTTCTTGTCTCCATTTCACAGGTGGGCAAACTGAAGCCCAGAGAAGTTAAGGGAGTTTTCTCAGGTCACACAGCTAGCAAATGGGGGAGCCAGGATGAAGATCTAGGCATACTTGCTCCAAGAGCTCAGTGTTCATCAACTGTCTTCAAGGAGATGATCTCAGCAGACATGAAGCCACTAGGAGTATGAACACTGGCCAGGGTAGGGTGGGGGCTTCCTCAGACCCTCTTCATTCATTTCAGTCCACAAAATGGATTGAATCCTCCTGTATGCCAAGCACTGGAGACACAGCAGTGAACCCAACAGACTACTGCTGCTCTCAAGGAGCTGATGTTTACGATAAACACATGACTGTATATAATATGTCAGTGCACGGAAAACAGTAGCCAGAGGGGATCAGGGACTGATGGAGTGGTTTATTTTTATTTGCTGTTTTGAACGTGAAAGTCAGGGAGGACTTCACGGAGGCGGTAACATTTGAGCAGGGACCCCCAGGAGGTGAAAGTGGAAGTCAAATTGGTCTCTAGGAAAAAGAATTCCATGCAGAGGGAACAGCCAGAGCAAAGGCCAGTGTGTACTGCCAACTCTGAAGCTGGATTGGTGCAAAAAGCTATTATAAAGTAGAAACGCTGGGACTTCCCTGCTAGTCCAGGGGTTAAGACTCTGTGCTCACAGTGTAGGGGGCCCAGGTTCAGTCCCTGGTTGGGGAACTAGATCTGACATGCTGCAGCTAAGACCTGGTGCAGCCAAATAAAGATATATATATATATATATTTTTTTTTTTTAAAGTAAGAAATGCTTCATTGTAAAAATAGCAGTCTTTCTGACTCACAAAGGGGAGTGTACATGTTGGGTGTATGTCCTACCAGACACTTTTCTGCTTTTAAAGCTTACAGGCGTGTACATCAGTCACTACCTTTTTCAATTTTTAACAAAAACCTCCTTGCTCTGCATACTGTTCTTCAGCTGGCTTCAGCATATTTATAGTCATCTCATCTTTAATAATCTTTACACCTTAGCCACATAGATCAACAGCATAGCTGAAAATGTGGACCGTGACACCAGCCTGCCCAAGTTCAGATCCTGGCTCTGCCATGCTGCTTGCTGTGTGACCTGGACCCAGCATTTTAACCTCTCTGGGCTTCAGTTTTCTCATCTGTAGAAACAGCGGCCACCTGATAGGAACAGATAGAATCATAGAATCACCGAGAGGATTTACAAAGTGTAAAACTCTCGGGATGGACCCTGGCATATCACGGGCATGTAACAGAAATGAACCATCACTGTCTTTCTTGTTCTTTAGAAAAAAACAAACAACAGCTTTATCAAGGTGTAATTGACATACAGAGAACCACCTGCATTTGAGGTGTACAAGTTGGTGCATAGTGACTTATATATGCAGCCATGCAGCCATCTCCACCATTGAAATGGTGAATGTTCCCTGTTCCCATCGCCCTTTGTCATGCCTCCTTTTTGCCATCCCAAGCAGCCACCATCTGCTTTTGGTTCCTGTAGACAAGTTTGCATTTTCTAGGGTTTGCACCACACAGGCTTATTTTCCCAACCAGCGTTTGAACTTGGGCTCTTAGCAGTGGCACACGGATCCCAACCACTGGCCCTCCTAGGAATTCCGTTTATAGGCTTTTATAGAAACAGGATCTTGTATTTAGCTACAGTTTTAAATTACAGTTAGGTCATTATATTCACTTTCTAATTTATTTTTTAATTAATTTATGGCTGCCCTGGGTCTTTGTTGCTACCCATGGGCTTTCTCTAATTGCAGCGAGCAGGGACTGCTCTTCGTTGTGGTGCGTGGACTTCTCATTGCGGAGGCTTTTCTTGTTGTGAAACATGGGCTCGGCAGCATGCCGGCTCGGTACTTGCTGCACTCGGGCTTAGCTGCCCTTCTGCATGTGGACTCTTCCCAGACCAGGGACTGACTCTGTGTCCCCTGCATTGGCAGGTGGACGCTTAACCACTGGACCGCCAGGGAAGTCCCTTTCTAGGGTTTTATACAAATAGGATCTTTTAGCATGGATTCCCCTATTCTTTCCTACCAGTGACCTAAATTACCATCAGCTTTGGACTCCACTCAGACATGCATGCATTTCCCCCAAGCACAGAGCCTTCCTCAAGTAACTAAAACATCAGCTCCCGCTTTACCCCCTGAAACTCAGTGTTTACACTGCCCTTTCACATACTTATTTTATCAAGCATGGTTCTGAGCTCAGACAACCCAGGAGGCAGGGACTTTTACATCACACCCATTTTATAGATGAGGAAACCAAGGCTTAGAGATCTTGGACGTGTTGCCCAAGATCATAGAGCCAGGTCTCCTGCAGACTCCCTGATCTCAACCCCTGCACTATGCTGCCCCGACCTTGGAAGTGTTGGCTTAAGTCTCTCTGACCCACAGATCAAGGTCTCCCATGCCATTGTGCTCCTAAACACCACTGTGCTCCTGTGGGTCAATAATAAAAACAGTCTGAAGGCCTCTGCCCCAGGGCAACGAGACCCTGGAGGCTGCGGAGCCCAACCCCGTCAGCAGAGACAGCACTTACATTGTCATGACTGAGCATCACCCCCTTGGGTTGGCCCGTGGTCCCGGAAGTGTAGATGATCACAGCACACTGATTGGCCTTCTGGCTTTTTATGATCTGGTCCAGCTGGGCATCAGGAATGCTACTGCCAAGTTCTAGGAAGTCATCCCACTACGGAAAGATAAGACCAGCAGAGGGTGGCGGCTCAAGGGTGTGAGGGGGCCCCCGGCACACCAGGTGTTCCCCTTCCCCAGTCAGCTCTTGCCCCACCAGCTGCCCTGGAAGGATGATTCCCAGCAGGAGGAAAGTCACTTCCCTGAGACACCTGCTTCTCCTCCACTTCCTGGGCAGGCTACTCAAGCACCTCGGCCTCAGTTTCCTCATGGGTGAAATGGGGATGATGTCAAGGCTCAACTCTTTGGGTTGTTCTAAGCAGTAAATGGGTCACTGTGTAAAATGGTTAGAACAGCAGAGTTCAGGATCATTTGTTCTCTGCCTTTCCAGATTCCACTCAGCACCTCAAACTTCGTGACCAGATTGATGGAACTGAAGGCCATCCTGATTGGCTTAAGCTAGAAGGTCCCATCTGCCTGGGCCACAGTGGTTGGACTGGTTCTGGACATGTGACCTCAGATGGCCCAATCACAGTGAAGGTCAGAGCTTTGGCTGTAAGTGCTGGGACATGAATGAGCCATCCGAACATGAGGTAACCTGAGGAGCTGCTGGACTATCTCAGGACTAGAGGGAAGCAAGGTTAGCGGAGAGCAAAATGGAGCCTACTAAGTCATTTCAGTTGTGTCTGACTCTTTGCGACCAATGGACTAAAGCCCATCAGTCTCCTCTGTCCATGGGGGTTCTCCAGGCATGAATGCTGAAGTGGGTTGCCATTTCCTTCTCCAGGGGATCTTCCTGACCCAGGGGTTGAACCCACGTCTCTTATGTTTCCTGCACTGGCAAGCAGGTTCTTTACCACTTCACCACCAAATGGAGCCTTGGGCATGTTATCTGAGCTCCTGGTTCCAGCTGTGCATGGGTTGTAGTTACATGAGCCAACAAATGATCTTTGAAGCTTAAGCCATTTGGAGTTAGGCTATCATCACTTGCAGCCAAAGATATCCTTAGTAATAAGACATACATCATCTCCCTCTGGCAGATGAAGAAGTGGAGGCTCAGAGGCGGTAAGTTACCTGCCCAGGGTCACACACTAAGTAAACAGAGGAGCTAGCATTTTAACCCAAGAGTCCAGAGCCTGTGCTCTTAATTACCTTAGAATTTGATGCCTCACAAGGAATTGTTGGGCTGTATGAACCGAATTTCACATGAGAGCTGCAAAAATGCTGTCTGTGATCCTCCAGTGAGGAGGCTCTGGAGGAGGACAGTATCCTGTCTGCAAAATAAAGGGCTCTCCATGGCCTCCAGAAATGGCCAACATTGCCTGCAACTTGACAGGTCAGCGCTGGCCCCATCCAAAAGGAAAGGACCTTTCACCAGAGCATCCCTAACAGGGTAGCATGATGATGAGAGGAGCAGTGCACACAGCCTTTGGAGGGACCCTGTCCTTTCTCTGAGAAATGCCCCAACCCCCCCCCAAAGGATGCTCCCCTAGTGGCAGGTGCAGGACCTCATCCTCCCATGGCCACAAATGATGGGATCACATAGACACTTGACCCAACCTAGTCCAATGCAGTCCTCTGTTGGAAATCTGGAATTGGTTCCGAGTCCAACTCCAGGCATCACCACCTGCCCAGTTAATGGTCTTCTTCTGTCATCCCTCTGCCCTCAAATCTCACCTTTTAATTTCCCAGGCATTTCCTTTTTCTCTCAGTTCTAATGAATGTATTCCTAAACTGAATCTAAAAATGGGAGGTTCTACTCACCCTGGCAGAGAAGTAGATACCTAATCTGTCACAAAACTGTTGCCTATAAATCACTGTCCTCAACTAGGGGCAGTGTTACCCATGCCCCCCTCCCCCTCAGCCAGAGGACCTAGGCAGTGTCTGAGGATATTTGTGATTGTTTCAACTAGGATGTAGTAGGTGGAGGGAGGCCAGGGTTGCTGCTTAACACCTTAAAATGCACAGGACGGCCCCTGTGATGAAAAATTATCCACCCTGAACTCTGTTCAGTGTTATGTGTCAGCTGGATGGGAGGGGAGTTTGGGGGAGAATGGATACATGTTTATGTATGGCTGAGTCCCTTCACTGTTCACCTGAGACTATCATGATATTATTAATTGGCTATATCCTAATACAAAATTAAAAGTTCAAAAGAAAAAAATTATCGACCTTGAATATCCAATGAGGCTGAGAAACCCTGCTGTAAATACTGTTTCTAACAAAAGGGTTTAACTTATCCAGACTTAAGATCTTGTTGCCGTGATGGTCACTTTTAACATCTGAAAGGTCTGTGATTCTGATCAGTTGTCTTACTTACTTGGTTATCATCCTGGTCTTAATATTCTAAGGTTTTCTGAAAGGTGTGTGAGCTGGTGAGTGTTTCAGCCAGAAAGGATCACTGTCATCTTTCCTCCCACTTGAGTGGAGGGAAAACCAAATAAATTCCGTGACAGGTTAGGACTTCTGATTTGGATCGTGGGTTTGATGGCCTGATCTCAGGAACATTAACAACAGGAGCCTAGGCTGGTCCCTCACAGACCTCCTGCCCTGACGTCTATGAGTTAACTTGTTGTATCCTTAGAAACAAGAACCAAGCCCTCTCCTTTGGCTTAATTGGGCCTCTGTTGCTTGCACTCAAGCATTTTCTGACTCTAGAAGGCCCTGAGGCAGAGTGAATTTGCAAAAAAAAAAAAAAAGGCTGTGACATGTATGATGTCACACAGTTTTCAGGGGCCCTGTCCCTCCCTTAGTAAGACGTGGAGTCTGGTCTGCAGCTTGGCCTCGATGTGCTCCTTCCAAGAATAGGTCATTTAAGGCAGGACAGCTTCTGCCTGGATATTTCTCTCCTCAAAACATTCTCTCTGGAGACTTTCCCAGTGGTCCAGTGGTTAAAGACTCTGAGCTTCCTTCTACTGCAGGGGGCGCAGGTTCCATCCCTGGTCAGGGAATGAAGATCCCCACATGCTGCCCAGCATGGTAAAAACAACAACAAAACAAATAAAAAACCATTCTCTGTGGAGAACTGAGCTACCAAACAAGCCCACAGGTCCTGAAGACATCGCAGAAGCAGAAAAAGAGAAAGAAAGGTGCTGGAGGAGCCCCAGATGCAGAGTCAGGACCAGGCTGTGAACCAGGGGCTTCTCTTTGAGTGCAAATTTTTTTAGGGAATTCCCCCCCAAAAAAGCTTCGATGCAATATTTTAAAAGTCAATATCAAAACAAAGCAAATCTGTGATGGATGAAACATCAAAATTTGAAAAAAATGGCAGGCTCCAATAGGGCTGTTGGTCCAAGCCATAGCAGAAATGGGTGCCCCTTGTATGTGTATTTTCATACATTAAAAATAGCTAATAGTTTTAATAAAGATACTGATGACTTTGCATCTATGAGAGCCAGGAAAGTAAATTTATAATAAATTCTGACTTGAATATACATTAAATACTTAAACTTAATGTTGTAAGTTCCAACACATCTTATTTTCAGTGCTGCAGTATTTTTTCAGTTACACTGTGTGTCTGTGCGACCCAATGGACTTTAGCTCACCAGTATCCTCTGTCCATGGGATTTTTCCAGGCAAGAACGCTGCAGTGGGTTGCTGTTTCCTATGCCAGGGGATCTTCCCCGCCCAGGGATCAAACCCACATTTCCTGCATTAGCAGGCATATTCTTTACCACTGTGCCACCAAGGAAATCCTCAGTTACACTAATGCACTGGGAAAAAAAAAAAAAGACACCTAATAATAAAATGATTGGTACTGTCTTATGCCACCAATTCTGGGGGTGATTTGTTACACAGAAATAAATTACCAGAACAGACACCTTCCGGGAAATCAGACCCTTCATGGCACAAAAAAAATTCTCTCAAAAGCCTCACCCCCTCCCCTTGTGAGGGCTCACCTTCTCCCTTGCCCACCACCCAGTGGGTGGGTGAGTCCCCACCCACTTCCATGGGCTTCCCTCCTAACTCAGTTGGTAAAGAATCTGCCTGCAATGCAGGAGACACAGGTCCGATTCCTGGGTTGGGAAGATTCCCTGGAGAAGGAAATGGCAACCCATTCCAGTATTCTTGCCTGGAAAATCCCATGGGCAGAGGAGCCGGGCAGGCTGCAGTCCATAGGGTTGCAAGGAGTCAGACACGACTTAGTGACTAAACTACCACTACTACTACCCACTTCTGTTGCTCATGACCCAGTTCCCTTGAGTCCTAGCTCATTTCCTCTGTATGGCTCCACCCTCCCTCTCGCGGTCACCACACAGTTCCATTGCAAGTCCCTGCCCACTTCCCTTGTATTGCGCCCCCCCTTCCTTTTCCAGTGCCCTCCTTCCCTTTAAGGCCCTGTCCTCTCCTTTGCTGACACTTACAGAGTACAGGTTTTTACATTTGCTGTCGTCCACCGGTGGCTTGTACTGAACAATCGCTTTTAGGGTCTCCATCTTGTTGCTCGGAATCTGAAAGAAAGTTGTTCAGTCGCTCAGTCGTGTCTGACTCTTTGCGACCTCATGGACTGTAGCTCATCAGGCTTCCCAGTCCTTCACTATCTCCCTAAGTTTGTTCAAACTCATGTCCATTAAGTCGATGATGCCATCCAACTGTCTCATCCTCTGTCGCACCCCTTCTCCTCTTGCCCTCAATCTTTCCCAGCATCAGGGCCTTTCCAGTCAATCTGCTCTTTGCATCAAGTGGCCAAAGGATTGGAGCTTCAGCTTCAGCATCAGTCCTTTCAATGAATATTCAGGGTTGATTTCCTTTAGGATTAACTGGTTTGATCTCCTTGCAGTCCAAGGGACTCCCAAGAGTCTTCTCAGGCACCACAAATTCGAAAGCATCAATTCTTTGGCACTCAGCCTTCTTTATGATCCAACTCCTAACATCCATACATGACTACTGGAAAAATCATAGCTTTGACTATACAGACCTTTGCCAGAAAAGTGATGTCTTTGCATTTTTAATAAGCTGTCTAGGTTTGTCATAGCTTTTCTTCCAAGGAGCAAGCGTCTTTTAATTTCATAGCTGCCATCACCCTCCCCAGTGATTTTGGAGCCCAAGAAAATAAAGTCTGTCACTCTTTCCATTCTTTCCACATCTATTTGCCATGAAATGATGGGACCGGATGTCATGATCTTTGTTTTTTGAATGTTGAGTTTTAAGCCAGCTTTTTCACTTCTCTTTCACTTTCATTAAGAGGCTTTTTCGTTCCTCTTCATTTTCTGTCATTAAGGTGGTGTCATTTGCATTATCTGAGGCTATTGATACTTTTCCCCAGCAATCTTGATTCTAGTTTGAGCTTCATCCAGCCTGGCATTTCACATGATGTACTTGGCATATAAGTTAAATAAGCAAGGTGATAATATACAGCCTTGATGTACTCCATTCCCAATTTTGAACCAGTCCATTGTTCCATGTCTGGTTCTAACTGTTGCTTCTTGACCTGCCTACAGGTTTCTCAGGAGGCAGGTAAGGTGGTCTGGTATTCCCATCTCTTTAAGAATTTTCCACAGTTTGTTGTGATCCACACAGTCAAATTTATGCATGGACCTCAGGATAACCTGGCCCAGAAGCATGTCCTAAGCTCTCTCCCGCAGGGACCCCTGCCTCTTTCCCTCCCCTGCCCACACAGTAAAATTTGGCTCTGTGTCTTGACTGGTACTAAGCAACCCGGCCTTAGGACTGCTGAGTTCTTTGTGGTTGGTATCAGTAGATGCCAACCACTAAAGAGGGCTGAGGGCACCAGCCTCCTGAGTTCTGCTGTGCTGAGTTGTGGCTCTTGGCTGGTGAGTCAAAGGACAACCTTCTTGGCTCCTCCTCTCTTGGCACCTTGAGCTACGCAGCCAAGATCCAGCCAAACTTCTAGTTGGCATCAGGCCACAGAAGTTCTCCATGAAGGTGGCCAGAACCTGGGCAGGTTCAGAAGGCTCTACCTAAACCTAGAACTGTAAGGTTCAGGAGATTCTTGTCCCCTGCAAGAATCTCGTCATTCATGCAAGGGGAGGACATTTGGGTCTGTGGCACATTCCTAGCCAGTGCAATGAAGATGTCACTTCCAGCATCAAGAATGCTGATTATAGCCAAGTCTCTGCCATGGCCTGGAGAGAGAAGATGACAGCAGTGCTTTTAACATCTGGACAAGAGTTTTCCAGAAAGAGAAGGAACAGACGTCCAAAAAACCTGAAGCAGGCAGTGGCTGGCATGTTTGAGGGATGTAAAAAGTCCAGGATGGCTGGAGTGAGGGTGGAAGGGAGGAGTCCAGGGGAGGAGGCAGCAAAGGGTGTGAGGGCCAGGAGGCTTTGCCCTGGGGAAGTGATGGCGAGGAGTCTGCCATTTATTCTGAAGGAAGAAGGAAGCCCTGGAGGGTTACAGGCTGTGAACATCACCAAGAAAGAAAGATTTCCAAGTGGACCTGAACATGTAGTTTGGGAGGAGCCTGGCTCTGAGTCTTTCACTCAGAGCAACAAGAACAACAAATCTTCTGCAAACTGCATCTTTGGTCAGTCTAAGTCTCTGTGTCCATGCTCAGTCACATCCAAATCTTCGCCACCCAACGGACTGTGGCCCGCCAGGCTCCTCTGTCCATGGGATTCTCTAGGCAAGAATCCCGGAGTGGGTTGCCTTTTCCTTCTCCAGGGGATCTTCCTGACCCGGGGACTGAACTCATGTCTCCTGCATTTGGGACATTGGCAGACAGATTTTTTACCACTGAGCCACCTGGAAAATGAAACTAGGAGATGGAAGTAATTCAGATACTGCTTTATGCCTGTGAGGTTGAAGATACCAGACCAAGGACTGGAAGTCATAGCAGCTTAGTGGCTGCAGGGGAAGGATGGAACACAAAGCATTTTCTAACATTGGGAAAACCCAAATCGGAAGCCTATATTCACAGTAGGGAGGGAAAGGGTCCTACCCTCACTCATCACCAGTCACCTCGCAATGAACAGGACAGACAGGACATGAATTGAGTACCAGGGACCAAAGAAGCATGGCTTCAGAAAGCAATTTCAGAAAGAAGAAGTCTGGGGAGTTTCCTGGCAGTCCAGTGGTTAAGACTCCATGCTTCCACTGCAGGGGCCACAGGTTCAAAGCCTGGTCAGGGAACTAAGATCCCGCATACCACGTGGCGCAGCCAAAAAACAAAACAACAGAAAGACAACCAGAAAGAAGTCTGTGCTTCCTGAACCAGCTCAGGTTAGGTATTGCATTGAAGGAGGCCTTATGGCACAAAATGTCCACTTTCATTAAGTCAGGCTGGATTTCATTGAGTCTGGTGAATCTACCCTAATTTCAGTGAAGTTAATATGTGGACAAACACCCTTGATGTTCAGAGGATACTGTCTTTGGCACTGATGGCAAGACTTGAATCTCAACCTCAGAAATATGAAGTGTGTAACATGGGAGAAATGGAATAGGGTATTAAAGAAACAGTCAGAGGACTTCCTTGGTGGTCCAGTTGTTAAGACTCCATACTTCCAATGCGTACTAAGATCCCACATGCTGCGTGGTACGGCAAAAAAAAAAAAAATATGGAAGGAAAGGAGGGAAGAAAGAAATAGTCACAGTAGCTCTCGGGCTGAGCAATGACTCTGGCCATGGAGGTTCACTCTTCCCAAGGACTTCCCTCCTTTCAGAATACTTCTGTGAAAAGCTAGTTCAGACAACTGCAATCATTCAAAGACAAATCATGGGAAACGTTTCTCCAGCATCCATACACAGATAATGCAAGGAGAAGAAAAAGGAGTAAGAGAGGAGTCAGATTTCACTGAGTACAAAAAGCTATGGTAGGATTCCCCTGGTCACCCAGTGGACAGGAGTCTGCCTGCCACTGCAGGGGACGTGGGCTCAGTCCCTGGTCGAGGACAGTTCCACACGCTGCATAGCAGCTAAGCCTTCACAACCACTGAAGCCTGCACGCCCTAAAGCCCGTGCTCCACAACAAGAGGAGCCATCACAATCAGAAGCCCTCTCGCCACAACAAAGAGTAGCCCCCATTCACCACGACTAGAGAAGGCCCACGAGCAGCCACGAAGACCCAGCATAACCCAAAAGAAAAATTTTAAAAAGTCACAGCAAAGCGGAGGAAGATTGCCCCCCCCCAACTTCTAATATAAAATGTAAGATGTAACAAGCTCAACACAGCTTGAAAGGAAGGACCCAAAGCAAACATAGACACCCTGGGGGGAGAGCCAGACATCCACCAGGAAGTCGTGAAGCAGGGACGCAGTCAGACATGGGGAGGAGACAGCAGAGAATCACAAAAGCATTTCAGAAAAGAGGGTGAGTGTAAGAGATGACAGTCGAAAGCATGACAAGGCTCAAGATAACGTTTCTAAGAGAAAACTGATAAACAGTGGGCTGTATATGAAATAACACACAAATGCATTTTTAAGAATGGAGGCCCAGGGGACTTCCCTGATGATCCAGGGGTTAAGACTTCACCTTCCAATGCAGGGGGTGCAGGTTTGATCCCTGGTCGGGGATACCGCCCTCAGCCAAAAAGAAGGAAAACATAAAACAGAAGCAGTATTGTAACAAATTCAATAAAGACTTTAAAAATGGTCCACATCAAAAAAATGGAGGTCAAGTAGGAAAACAATATGCTTTGGAAGTTAAACTCCTCCACTTTGCACACATCCATTCTTCCTTGGTGATGGGCGGGCAACACTGTGGTTGTGGGCGGGGGATGGGGTGGGGTGGCAGTTGTTACCGAAAGGATTTTCTGCAACTGTGCACCATTTTCCACCAGCAGGATGTTCACTTTGGCATGAGTAATGACATATTCACAGGCATCCGCGGAGTTGGTGGCATAAATACCAACACAGAAGCCCCTGGGAAAAGAAAACACATGCATGTGTGTGTCCACCTACCTGAGTCAAGAACTTCCTGGAAGGGGAGGAAAGGGTCTGGGGGTAGGGTCTGCTGGCAGGTTCTGAGTCTGAAGTCCTGCCACCAGCTTCCCTCCCTCCACAACTGGACAATGACGAAAAGGACAGGAATGACAGCGATGATGGACTCGTGATGTTGCTATGACACGGAGCCCTCACAGTACCCATTTTACAGATGAGGAAGCTGAGGCTCAAGGGCAGGAAGTCGCTTGTTCAGGGTCCCATAGTAAATAAGAAGTGGGGTTTGGAACCCCCCACCCCTCCCCCAGCCACCTGTTCCCTTCACTCACAACCTTTTCTTCTTGCTTTCAACCATTATGTGGTGGGTTTGTATCTCCCTGCTGCCAGATGACCTCAAGGAGCTTTCCAAGCACTTATTGGCTGCTTCCCTTAGTGGTGTTTCCCTTCAAGTTTCCTGCTCCTTTAAAATCTTTCCATGTTTTTATTTCTGAGCTGTACAAGTCCTTTGGTGTATTTCAGATGACTGGGGTGTGTGTGTCTATCTCACTGGCTTGCCTAGGGCTCTCTGCTCATATCTCAGTGGAAACCTGTGCGGGCACCAGGCCCCCAGAGCAGCAGCCCTCCACCCCACCACAACATTCACAGGGCCCAGGGCCCAGGATCTTACCCTGCGAAGGTGGCACCAAGAGCTGCAAGAATCCACTCGATGGAGTTAAATCCAAGGATGCCAACTGAGTGGAAAGGCTCCAAGCCCAGCTGGGAAGGCAAAAACAGACGGACAAGCAGAAAACAGAGACACAGAGGAGGTTTGCTTCCAGGTGGGACCTGCTCACTGGGAGAAGGTGGACTCCAGAGCCCACGGAAGTCACGTTGGGGAAAAGCCCATGTTGAGATGGAAATCCAGAGTGTGATTTTTTTTGTGACCCTTGGGAGGCTGGTTTGCCTTGCTCTACTTAATACCCCCTTTTTTATTCTAATTTTTATGGATTTTAGTTTTTAATCATTCTAACCAACTTTAAGTGCACAGCTCAGTGGTATTAAGCTCCTTTACCCTAACCCCCCCCCAAAAAAAAAATCCAGGGGAATTCCCTAGTGGTCCAGTGGTTAGGACTTCATGCTTTCAGTGCTGAGGGCCCAAGTTCATCCCTACTGTGGGAACTAAGATCTCGCAAGCCTCACAGTGTGACCAAAAAAAGTACATTCACACTGTTATGCAACCGTCCCCACCATCCATCTCTAGAACTTTCTCATCTTCCCAAACTGAAACTCTATCCCCATGAAACACTGATTCCCCAGCCCCTGGCCCCCACCATCTATTATCCTTCCTGCCTTGTGGATCTGACTCCTCCAGGGCCCTTCCATAGAGGAAGGAACTGAGGCTTCCTGCCAAGAGCTAGCCATGCTTAGAAGTGGACCCTCCGCCTCAGTCAAGCCTTCCAATGATGTAGCCTGGGCTGATAGCTTGACTGCAATCTCATGTGAGATCTTGAACCAGATACATCCAACTAAACCACTCCGTAGAGAGGGGACAAAGATATGAAAGAAAATTTTCACCAGTTAACCTTCTTTCTTGGGGTGCCTTGTGCATTTTGTCCCATATGTATTTACACATAGAAGGAATGATTTAATACATGATGAACAAATAAAGGAGTGAGTGAACCACACATTTACCTTGAGCATGGCTCTCGCAGTCTTCCGACAAGCCTCATAGTACTGGTTATAGTTCAGAACGTCCCACTTTCCATCCTTCTTTGATGCTAGGGCAGGATAAGTCCCAAATCGGTTGACTGACTCCCGAAAAAACTCAGGGATGGTCATGGGGCTCTCATGGCCTGGCCCATGTCTTGATAGCCTCATAAGGACTTCTCCATCTCGGTGAATGGTCCACAGCCTAGGAGTAACTGCAGATAACCACCAGGCTTGGATGGCACACGTTTTATATTCACTTCATACTCAGGAGGCGGGAGGGGGCTCTTTTTTTGCTACTGAATGAATCTCACGCTTCGAGTGAAGTCACATGGTCAGTGGTGGCCTACTCTAGCTTCCCTGTTCCTATTTATTTCTTCCTTACCCTCCCCCAACAGTCTATCATGAAAATTTTCAAGCATACAAAAAGTTGGATTTGTATAGCAAGCGCCCTCTTACCACCAAATCCTACAGCTGTTAGCACATCCAGCCATCCCTCTATTTATCCATCCATCACACCATCTTCCTTTCTGACACATGTCAAAGAAAGCTGCGTCCATTTCACTCTTCAACATGTGAATCATTTTTTAAAAATTTTATTGAAGTATAGTTGATTTACAATGTTGTGATAATTTATGCTGTACGGCAAAAGTGACTCAGTTGTGCACACAGATGTTCTTTTCCACTATGGCTTGTCAAGGAATATTGGATAGAGTTCCCTATGCTACACAGTAGGGCCTTGTTTATCCATCCTCTGTGTAATAGTTTGCCTCTGCTAATCCCCAACTCCCAGTCCATCCCTCCCCCACCCCCTTGGCAACCACAGTCTCTGCTCTATGTCTGTGAGTCTGTTTGCTTCATAGATAACTTCATTTGTGTCTTATTTGAGATTCCACATATAAGTGATATCATACGGTATTTGTCATTCTCTTTCTGACTTAGTATGATCATATCTATGGCCATTCATAGGTGGTAAATGGCATTATTTTATTCCTTTTAGAAACATTTGAATTGTTTGATGTGAATCAACCTTTAGCATTTGAATCATTAACTAGAAATATATGTATACACACCTATCTGCATTACATATATTATTACATCTGTACCATAAGTATAATTACATTTATACTATATTTACATATATATAACTACATCTGCACTATATATATATAATTATATTCTTATATAGTAAGTATATATATGTACTATATATATAATTATATTCTTATTATACGTATTATTGGCTTCCTGGTGGCTCAGGGGTAAAGAACCTGCCTGCCAATGCAGAAGACTCAGGTTCAAACCATGGGTTACAAGGATCCCCTGGAGAAGGAAATGGCAACCCACTCCAGTATTCTTGCCTGGGAAATCCTGTGGATGGAGGAGCCTTGCCGGGGGGCACAAAAGGTTCAGACACAACTCAGCGACAGCAATATATATTATTATATATATATTATTACATCTGCCACACACATATACACACACACAATTACATCTGCACTATATGTAATATGTAATGTATAATGTGTATATATATAATATTAAATATATTATATATGTGTGTGTATATGCTTTACCCACACAGGCACACCATCCTAACAGGCTTAGTCACTTAGTCATGTCCAGCTCTTTGTGATCCCATGGACCATAGCCCGTCAGGCTCCTCTGTCCATCGAATTCTCCAGGCATGAATACCAGAGTGGGTTGCCACCCCTCCTCCAGGGGATCCTCCTGACTCAGGGATCGAACCGGAGTCTCTTGCATCTCCTGCATTGGCAGGTGGGTTCTTTACCACTGTGCCACCAGAGAAGACATAGGGAGCTTCTATTATTAATGCCTCCCCCCCAGTACAAGGGTTACAACTGAGACTTCAGAAGAGTAGGTGACTCGCTCACAGAGCTCTGCTCTGAACGACAGGCCCCAGCTGTCATTCCTTTATGTTGGGCCCCTCTGCTACCCATCACATGTAGAGACTTGGCCCCCCAGGTTCGGGCACCTCAGCCAGGGCCAGCAGCTGGGGCACAGAGGGGCTGTGCCCAACTCTCCAGCCCGGCCTCCTTTATAAACAGTGGTAAGTCAGAGCACTTTTCTCTCTCTTGCACAACGTACCTTGTTCTTGGCTCATGTCTGCTTTGAGGTCCTCAGCCTTCTCTTCTTGATTCATCTGGGCTTCAGGCCTTCTGGGTCTACAGAGACCATTCTTCACCGTGCTGCAAGGCATAGAGCAAGAAACTGAGCATGTGCTACTAAGCTGCTCCTGTCGTGTCCAACTCTGTGGACCCTATAGACTGCAGCCCGCCAGGCTCCTCTGTCCATGGGATTCTCCAGGCAAGAGTACTGGAGTGGGCTGCCATGCCCTCCTCCAGGGGATCTTCCCGACCCAGCGATCACACCTGTGTCTCTCACACCTGCTGTATTGACAGGAGGGTTCTTTACCACTAGCGCCACCTTGGAAGCCCCAGGAACTTAGCAGGCCTGGTAAAGGAGCTGCAGGTCTGAAGCCAGCTCCGGTGTTAACTTAGTCATGTCGCCGAGAACCCCAGGATTGATTAGTCATGCCTGTCCTGGGCCTAGGAGGAGAGGAGCCAGGACTGCATGCCAGATCATCCAGCAATTGTAAATCCAGAGCATGTGCAGTCTTCGAGTTTCCAGAAGATTCTCTTGAACAATGAGAATGTAGAAGCTAGATCTATATGTGATCCTATGGGTGAGAGAACATTTTGGAGTTTCCTGAAGAGAAGCAGCTCTCCCAAGAGAGTTCTGTTCTGGTTCGTTTCCTTAAAGATAGTACAACACAAAAACTCAAAGGCCTTAAAGGATAAAACAGAGTAAATTTTGGCACATAAAAAGTTTTAAGCTTTTCAAACAGCGAAGAATACCATGAACAGAATCAAAAGATCAACAACAAACTGAAAATAAAAAGAAAAAAACATGGGCAACACATGTAATCAACCAAAGCCTGATTTCCTTAATATGTAAAGAATACCAATGAATCAATAAGAAAAAGACCAATAGCCCAATGAGAAAATGGGACAAAATCTTGAATTGACAGTTCTCTGAAAACAGTTTTAACTGACTTTTAAAAACAGGAAAAACAGGGAATTCTCTGGTGGTCTGATGGCTAAAACTCTACACGCCCCATGCAAGGGGCCCAGGTTTGATCTCTGGTCAGGGAACTAGGCTGCACATATTGCAACTAAGAGTCTGCATGCTGCAACTAAGATCTGATACAACCAAATTAACTTTAAAAAAACAGAAAAACATGTTCCATCTCAGTCCAAAGAGAAATACAGTAGAAAACATGATGCAGTTTTCACCTAGATGAAGTAAGACTCAAAAGACTAAAAAAGAACTTATGTTAGTGAGGGAGACTTTGGGATAACAAAGTCTCTCCTATACTGGGGTAAAAATCGATGCAACCCCTTTAGAGGATGTTTTGTCAGTAATCAGACTGAAGTTCACACAATTATAAATCCATTGGTAGAGGCCAGTGCAGATTCCAGGCCACCCAGGATCCTTGCATGCTCAGGAACCGGACACCACTGTTTGAATCCTTTTGTGTGTGATGTGGGGCGAGCACCACTCCTTAACCATCCTTGACTTTCTTTGTTTTTTTTTCATCCTTGACTTTCAATATGGTAATCCTTAAATCAAATAACATGCTTCTAAACATCTACATAACAAGAATTAATAGTTATTCTCCAGACATCCCTGGTGGTCCAGTGGCTAAGACTCTGCACTCCCAATGCAGGGGGCCTGAGTTTCATCCCCAGTCAGGGAACTAGATTCCACACGCCACAACTAAAGAGTTCACATGCCACAACTAAAAATCCTGCATGCGGCAACTAAGACCTAGTGCAGCCAAATAAATGATAAATATTTGTAAAAATCAATTATTCTCATGGACTAAATTGTCTTCCCTGAAATTTGTATGTTGAGGCCCTGGCCCCCGAGTGATTGCATTTAGAGATGGAGTCTTGAGGAAAGTTGAGTGCCTGCTCATCACAGAGTCATGTCTGACTCTTGTGACCCCATGGACAGTAGCCCACCAGGCCCCTCTGTCCATGGGATTCTCCAGGCAAGAATACTGGAGTGGGTTGCCATGCCCTCCTCCAAAGGATCTCCCTGACCCAGGGATCAATCCCACATCTCCTGCATTGGTAGGCAGATTTTTTACCACTGAGCCAGCTGGAAAGCCCCTTGAGAAACATAACCAAGGTTAAATGCGGTCACAAGAGTAGGGCCCTAGTCCAATAGGACTGCTGTCCTCCTAAGAAGAGAAAAACAGCTCTCTTCCTCCACCATGTGAGGACACAGTGAGGAGGAGGCCATATTCAAGAGAGGACTTAACCGACACCAGCACTGCTGAGACCTCCATCTGAACTTCCAGCCCAGCCATAACAAGGAAAAGAAGGTCCTATTAAGCCACCCAGTTCTACAGTGTTTTTGTTAACTGCAGACAGTTACATAAATATCTTGAAAACTGTTTCTTAAATGAGCTCATGAATTCCATTTTGTTCGTAGAGTGGAATGTTATTTGGCCATGAAAAGGATAGAAGCACTGACACTCGCTACAATGTGGATGGACCTGGAGGACACGATGCTCAGTGAGAGAAGCCACACACAGAAGGACACACAGTGTGTGAGTCCATTTATATAAACGTTCATAGAGACAGAGTGGGTTTGTGGTTGCCAGGGGGCTGGGGAGGGAATGACGAGTGACTTTTTATGGGCACAGAGTTTCCTTGTGGGGCGATGGAAATGTTTTGGAACTAAACAGAAACAAAGGTTGCTCAAGGTTGTGAATGTACTAGATGCCACCCAGCCGCTTATCTTAAAATGGTTAATTTCACGTTATGTGACTCTCACCTCAATTAAAAAACACCAGAAATGTTGATTCACGCTTCCCGAAATGGAATGTTCTCCAAGACATAAAATTAAATAAAAAAAGCAAGATCCTAGACAACAAATACAGAAGGTGACTGGGCAGGCAGATGGATCCATGTATGTGACTCAAGAAAAAAAAGTTCTGCGTCTCTAGTCTAAGAGGTCATTACCTCCTGGGCAGACACGAAGCAAAAATGCCAGCAGTCTAACCCAAAGTTGACCACCAATGCCCTGAAAACAGGAAGATGAGAGAGAGGTCTTGGGTCACACAGTCCCCAGGCGCCTGTGGCCGTCAGCGGGCCTGCGCTGGTCTCATCTGGCTTCACCAACACCAGGAACCCACCCTGCACGATCAGCAAGGGGGCGGGAGGGGCTCCACCCTGGGGGTCAGCCTGTCTCCTACCCGGGTGTTTCCTGATCATCTACTACTGTGAGCCAGGCAGGGCTCTAGCTAGTGGGCAACCAGATGGACAGAAATCCCTCCTGAAACCAACATTCTAGTTGGTGGAAACAGCCAGGGAACAAAGATCAATGAAGACAGTAACAGGATGCACCTCAAAAGCATCAGGCTGAGAGAAAGAAGCCAGGTACCAAAAGGCACAGAGTGTGTGAGTCCATTTGTAGGAAACATCCAGACAGGCAAATCTGCACAGAGTGGGTTTGTGGCTCCTGAGGCTGAGGGAGGGGGGCAGGGAATGGCTGCTTAACATACATATGGTTTCCTTTTGGGGTGTTGCAAATATTTTGGAATTACATTACTGTGGATGTACTGCATGCCACTGAAGTATTCACTTTAAAATGGAGAATCTGGGGGACTTACCTGGTGGTCCAGTTGTTAAAGCTCCAGGTTCCCAATGCAGGGGTCCTGGATTCGATCCCTGCTCAAGGAACTAAATCCCACATGCTGCAACTAAGAGTTCAAACACTGCAACTGAAAATTTTGCATGCCACAATTAGATTTTGCATGCCACAAATTAAAGATTCCATATACTGAAACTAAAAGGTCCTGCATGTTGCCATTAAAGATCTTGCATGTTGCAACTAATACCTGGCACAGCTAAATAAGTAAATAAATACTAAAAAAGACAACCCCATCAGAAATGGGTTCAAGCCTTGAACAGAGAGTTCACAGAACTGAATGGATTATAAACCCAGGACAGATGCTCAGGTTCCTTGGTAATAAGGGAAATGCACATTAAGACCCTAGTGAGATATCACTTTACCTCCAGTAGATGTGCAAAAATGCATCAGATGCTGGAGAGGAAGAAGAATGGGAGCTCTCCTCCCTTGCTGGGGGAGCTAAAGATGGCATGGCCCGTTGGGAAAGCATTGTGGCATTAATGGTTCAAAGTGAACACATGCATATCCCTGATCTGGCATTTTTACTCCCAGATATATATACCCAAGGGCTTCCCAGATGGCTTAGCGAGTAAAGAATCTGCCTGCAATGCAGGAGACACAGGAGTCAAGGGTTTGATCCCCAGGTCAGGGAAGAGGGCATGGCAGCCCACTCCAGTATTCTTGCCTGGAGAATCCCATGGACAAAGGAGCCTGGCGGGCTACAGTTTACAGGGCCACACAGAATTAGACATGACTGAAGCAGCTGAGCACACACGTATACCTAAGTGAAACTCTTGCATATCTGCCCCAGGAGACATGGGCAAGAATGATCATAGCGGCTGTGTTCATAAGAACTGCAAAGTGGAAACAGCCCGAAAATTCATCAGCGACAGAATGGATGCAACCATCATGAAATACTATGCAGTGATGAAAATGTAGGAACAGACACAAAACCCTGGGTGCATCTCCCAGCCTTGATGCTGGTAAAGAAGCAGGTGGCAGTATGATTTTATTTGTATAAAGTTCACAAGCAGGCAACATTAGTTAGTCCTTGTTTAACTGGTAAAACGAGAAGGAAAAGCTCTTCAGGCAATTCAGAACAGTGTTACCTCATTCAGGTGAGGGAGGAACAGGAGGAAAAGGTAGGACACAGAAGACTTCTAAGTTACTAGTAATACTCTATTTCATAAAGGGAAGTAAGTACACAGACATGTATAGCTATTTATTAAACTGTACTTAAAATGTTTTGTGCATCATTTTATATGCAAAATGTGTTTCACAATTTTTAAAAAGCCATGTAGGGTTCATTAGAGCAATGGATTAAGAATTCTTATTGAATTTAAGGGACAAGAGTGAAAACTATATCATCTCAAGATATAATTTGATGAAATATCCAATTTTTAAATGAAAATCTCTTAGCCCATAAGAAATGGAAGTGTCTGCATAACTTGATAAAGGCTGTCTACTAGAACTATGAATATTATATTTAACAATGGCAACAGAACCATCAGAAGAATTTCCATGAAGTCAGAAAGAAGATGAACACATCAGCCGTCACTTCTACTAGTCAGCATTGACATGGAGGTCCTTAGTCAATGCAATAAGACAAGAAAAGGAAGGGAGAGGAATTAAGATTGAAAAGATGCAACATCGCCATCACATGTGATTGACTGCCCCTATAGATATTCAATCAACTGAAAAGCTATTAGAAATAAAAACAGTTCTGGGACTCCCCTGGCAATTAAGACTCTGCACTTCCAATGCAGGGGGTGCAGGTTCAATCCCTGGTTGGGGAATTAAGATCCTGTATGCTGCTTGGCACAGCCAGTTTTTAAAAAATAATAAATAAATAAATAAAACATCTAAGAAAAAGGAAAAAAAAAACAGTTCTTTAAGGTGATTACAGAAAATCAATATTTAAAAACCAATAGCATTCTTGTACACCAGCAGCAACCACTTAGAAGACGCAGTAGAAAAAGACATTGAGAGTCTAGCTCAAGGCCAAAATGTGTGTTTGAGGTGAATCCAACTCCTAGTGAAATATGCCTGAATGTTACACTGACATACTGCTTATCGAGGGCTTCCCAGGTGGTGCTAGTGGTAGAGAATCTGCCTGCCAATGCAAGAGTTTTAGGAGATACAGTGTCAGTCCCTGGGTCAGGAAGGTTCCCTGGAGGAGGAAACGGCCCCCCAGTCCAGTATTCCTGCCTTGCCAGAGGAGCCTGGAGTGCTACAGTCCATGGGGCCGCAGAGTAGGACATGACTGAGAGATTGAGCACACACACAGATATATTGAAAGTCAAATATGACTGTCAGACAGCAAATCCCAGAGGACCCGGATGCACCCCCACCTCCCACAGCACTGGCACCTTCCAGTTTTCACCAGGTATGGTTCTGGCCATCACAGCAAAGCATGGGCTGCAGAGACATCTGGGCACTTGGGGTGTTTTCTTCTTCCACAGAAATGACAAACAAGTTGCTCCTCCTGGAAACCTGAACATGGGCTGCCCCTTCCCAGCCCTCGTCACCGTCGATGGTGGTGGTGATGAGAGGCAGGAAGGCGGGCAGTTTTCCTTCCCAACAACCCTTCTATCCCATTCAGGCTTCCAGAACCTTCCTCCCAGTCACCTCTTGTGACATCACTGGCTGCCCCCGCCTTCCCACCCCACCACATCTCCACTCCTGCTTCCAGAGCAGGAGAGCAGCCATTCTCTTTCCACCCATCCATCCCTTCATACATTGCACTCCTTAACTTTTGGTGAAATTCATATGGAGCCACAGCACTAACGTCAGGCATTGTGCTAGATGCTGAAGATGTGAAGATGTGCAGAACCAGATGAGGTCTGTTCAGGGAGACCATGGGAAACCTGGAGTCAGACAGAGAGACCCAACATTATGTCAGTGGAAAGGATTTGCTAGTGGGACCGGCCTAGGCAGGGAGGTTGGGAGAGGTCCCTGGAACTGAGTTCTAAAGGCTGGGCAGGTGTTAGCCTGATTCACTGCTTTTCATCACATGCCCTGCTCCATGCATTCTCAGTCTGCTTCTGCCTCCTCTCGCAGTTGCATCCCACTGCCTAAAACAGCTCCTGGTCAGGCACGCAGCAAGTATGTTCAGTCAGTTAAGACTTATTGCCCAACCCTCAACATTCATAGGAAACTTATACTAAAGCTGAAGCCCTAGTACTTGGGCCACCTGATGTGAACAGCCAGCTCATTGAAAAGACCCTGACGCTGGGAAAGATTGAGGGCAGGAGGAGAAGAGGGCGACAGAGGATGAGATGGTTGGATGGCATCATTGACTCAATGGACATGAGTTTGAGCAAACTCTGGAAAAAGGTGAAAGGGAGCCTGGCATGCTGCAGTCCTTGGGGTCACAAAGAGTTGGATGTGACGAGCAACTGAACAACAACCACCCAAACACCCTGCCCTGTCAAGAGACAAGAACAGGAGTGTTCTACTGTCTCTGGAGCCTTCTGGGTGGTTCCCATCTGGGGCTGAGCAGTGTCACCCTGAGAGCACCGAGTCAGCTGAAGCTGGAGAGCGAGTGTCCACCAGCAGCCATTCTGACTCTCTTCTCCCAGCCCCTCAGCCAAAGATCAGCTCCCAGGCCGCCTTGTTGCAACATGTGGCCCTCTGGCTACATCCTGACCTGTGGAGTGTGGATACAGGTAGTGCGGGGGTCACTGTAGAGTCATGCCCCTAACGGAAAGGAGATTGGGACCCCCTTTCCCTAGTGGGAGGCTGAGATCTGAAGCAATCACCTTGGATAGGAAGGGAGCTGAACAGTGAGGAGGCAACGCAAAAAGAGGGAAGGAGCCTGGGTCCCTAATGACTGTGCAGCCACCTTGCTAGTCCTGGACAGATAGAGTTTCATGCACACACACACACACGCACCTTCACATGTACACACTCACATGTATACTCATCTGCGCTCACACACATGCACACATTCTCCCACAATCATACCCATTCACCCCCTCAAACACACCCTCCTACAGACCCACAATTGGGTCACACACTCAAGTCACATACACCCTCTTACAGATACACAATTATAGTCACACAGATGCACTCACGCACAAATTTCTATACAGACACATAATTATATACACATGTGCTCAGCACGGGCATACACAACAACCTCACATTCTTGTGCATCCTCATTGGACGCAGGATTGCATACACATGTGCTCACACACATGCACTCACACACCTTCTCACAGATATTCTCACACACGTGCACGCACAACTGTCTCGCCACAGAAAGGTAAGTCACCCAGGAAAAGCCCATCCAGAAATATCTCAGCGGACGTCCACCCTGATCGCATTCAGGGTTGAAGGGCGCACTGACAGCTTCCGGAAATGCTGCTGGAAGCGGACCTCTGCTCCTGGTGGCTTGGGATCTGCCTCCCCTGAATAGCTCCCCGCATCGAGGCTCACCCTCCCTTCCCAGGGCCACCCACACTCAAGTGGGGGCATCAAGCCGCCCACCCATCACCCCATCTCAGGGCAATACTGAGAGGGGTCCCAGCCACCAAGCCTCCTTGGGGGAAGGGCATCCTCTCTGCCTTGGAGACCGGGTTCTGACTCCTCCCCTCCCCCAGGGTCACCCCTGAGTGCTCCCCAAATAAACCTTTCACAAGCTCAGTTCGTCCGCCCTGCTTCCCCGTGAGCTCCACATGTAGCAAGAGCAGTCAGCGCTCCCCCTAGAATCCCTGTGTTGACCTCGTCTCACCTTTCTCCTACCTGCCCTAGATAAGCTCGCAACGGGGACCTTTCAGTGCCCCACCAGTGGTGGCCATCAGCAGTGACCACACCCTCCAGGTGGTGGACGAGCCCCTTCTCCAAGCAGAGGGACAGAGTCGATTCCAGGCCACTGCGCACATTTTAATCAAGAAAAGTCTGACAGTAGAAAACAGGATTGCACGGAGGCAGCGGCTGCAGAAAGAAAAGCCCTGATTGGGCAAAATCTGTCCACCCCAACCCTGCTGACCCCAGAAGACTCCCCCGCCCCACCTCCAGAGCCAAGGGCAAAATGAAAGTCGCCTCAAAAAAGCTAAAAATAGAGCTACTATATGATCCAGTAATCCACTTTTGGTTATATAATCTGAAGGAAATGAAAACACTATCTTGAAGAGCTGTCTGTACTCCTGTGTCCACTGCAGCACTCTTTATAATAGCCAAGAAGACCTGGAGACAACCTAAATGTCCATTGACAAGTGAATGGATAAAGAAGATATGGGGTGTGTGTGTATACATATGATATATATTAAGCTAGAATCAGGATTGCTGGGAGAAATATCAACAATGTCACATATGCAGATGATATCACTCTAATGGCAGAAAGTGAAGAGGAATTAAAGAGCCTCTTGATGAGGATGAAAGAGGAGAGTGAAAAAACTGACTTGAGACTCAACATTAAAAACCTTAAGATCATGACATCTGGTCTCATCATTTCACGGCAAACAGAAGGGGAAAAAGTGGAAACTGACAGATTTTATTTTCTTGGGCTCCAAAATCACTGGTCAGTGACTACAGCCTTGAAATTAAAAGATGCTTGCTCCTTGGAAGGAAAGCTATGACAGACCTAGCATATTAAAAAGCAGAGACATCACTTTGCCAACAAAGGTCCATATAGTCAAAGCAGTGGTTTTTCCAGTAGTCATGTATGGATGTGAGAGTTGGACCATAAAGAAGGCTGACTGCTGAAGAATTGAGGCTTTTGAATTGTGGTGCTGGAGAAGGCTCTTGAGAGTCCCTTGGACAGCAAGGATATCAAACCATTCAACCCTAAAGGAAATCAACCCTGAATATTCACTGGAAGGACTGATGCTGAATCTGAAACTCCAATGCTTTGGCCACTTAATATGAAGAGCCAACTCATTGGAAAAGACTCTGATGCTAATAAAGATTGCAGGCAAAAGGGGAAGGGGTAGCAGAGGATGAGATGGTCAGATAGAATCATCGATTCAATGGACGTGAATTTAAGGAAACTGAAGGAGCTGGTGGAGGACAGAGGAGCCTGGCGAGCTACAGTTTGTGGGGTCACAGAGAGTTGGACACGATGTAGCAACTGAACAACAAAATGATACATATTTATGTGTATATCAAGAATGCTGTACTTCGCAATCATTAAAAAGAAGGAAATTCTGGCAATTGAGACTATATGGATGAATCTTACAGACATCATGCTTACTGAAATGTCAGACAGGAAGACAAATACTGTATGATCTCACATATATAGAATCAAAACAAAACACAGCAGATGGTTGGTTTTCAGAGGTGGGGGATGGGGAGACGGGTGAGGTGGTCAAAAGGCGCAAACTTCCAGTTATAAAATCTGTAAGGATGTAACACACAGCATGTGACTTCAGTTAATAGTATTCTATTACAGACTTGAAAGCTGCTTGGACTTCCCTGGTTTTCTAGTGGTTGAGAATCTGCATTCACAATGCAGGGGACACGAGTTCAGTCCCTGGTCCAGGAAGATTCCACACACTGCAGGGCAGCTAAGCCCATGTGCCTCAACTACTGAAGCCCCAGCCCTCGAGCCTGTGCTTTATGACAAGAGAAGCCACTGCAATGAGAAGCCAGTGCACTGAGAGAAAGACCCAGCGCAGCCAATAAATAAATAAATATTTTTTTAAAAAGCTGCTAAGAAAGTCGATCTTAAAAAGCCTCCTCACAAGAAAAAAAATTGTAGCTATGTAAAGTGATGATTAACTAGACATTGTGGTGGCCATTTTGCAGTGTATTCGGATATGGGATTGTTATGTTGTACACCTGAAACATATTATATCAATTGCATGTGTGCTAAGTCACTTCAATTTGCGTCTGATTCTTTGCTAGCCTATGAACCTTAGCTTGCCTGGCTTCTCTGTCCATGGAATTCTCCAGGCAAGAATACTGGATTGGGTTACCATGCCAATTATACCTCAGTAAAACAAAGTTCAAAAGAAAATAGCAAAGCAAAAAAACTCCACAAATTCAGGTAGAGGCTGGATTGGATACAAGGGGTGGTGGTTCGGAGATTTCTACTATATATGCCCCAGGGTGATTCTCATTTGTTCTTCCAAAGGAAAACAGTAACTTTCCTCCCAGCTCTCCTTCGTGGGAGTGCGCGTCTCTCGCACCCAGCCAGAGTGAATATGACATGGCATCTGGGGTGTCTATGGCATGCAGCACAGATGGAGTGCTCTGACATTTGTCTGCTGTGTTTTAAAGTCTTTACTTTTTTTTTTTGGCTGGGCCAGGTGGCCTGTGGGATCTTAGTTCCCCAACCAGGGATCAAACCTGGGCTCCTTGCGTTGGGAGCACAGAGTCTTAACCCGTGGACCAACAAGGAAGTCCTAAGTTTTTACTTTTCGATTAAGGTAATTCATACCCCTTGTTTTGTTGTTTTTTGAGTATCAGAAAGGTTTGTAACAAAG